CTTATAATCAGCGGGAATAACGCATGCCGGTGAGAGCTCGGAAACATTGACAGCTGAATCAGACGCGCGCCGCATCTTGATAAGAAGATAACTAATGGAGAAGTGGACGAGAGCAGGAGGAGAGAAGACGTGCAAAAAAGGAACGGTGACGAGGAAGAAGCTGGAAGAGGAAGATGACGATGACGAGGAAAAGGAGAAAGGGGGAAGGGGGAAAGAGAGGAAGAGATAGGGAGAGTAAACGCGAGTTCCAAAAACCTAAGAAGAGCATCGATCGCAGCTGTCGCCTTCGCTCCGCACCTGCTATTGTCCGCCTCGTCTTCCAGTCGACGACAACAAGTGAGAGAGACCGACCCCTTTCCTTTCGTACAGAGACGTACACACGTACAGCACGAGACGAGGAATGTGTTAACGCTCGCCTGCGCGCACGTACGCGATGCACACGCGTGCGTTGTTCGCTGCGTGTCCAACGTGTCCACGTGGCGTTGCGTGAGGTCGTCTTATCGGGCATACGCATACCGTATCCCACTCGCTCTCTCTTTCCTCTCTAATTAACGCGCGAACGACGAGCACGTAAGAACGCTCGTTCAACGTTGTTCGTTGCAGAGAATTGGAAATTTCGACTTCCTTATGGTTTCCGACTTCGTCCCACGTGGAAGAATTAATCGTTTCATTAGAAGCAGGATGTTTCGAGGAAAAAACCCTGAGAAGTTAGCTTACCACTTACGTTTGTGATGTAACGACAATTTTCATAAGAACGAATTGTATGTAGGGAGATAAATAAAATATGTATCAGAGCCATGCCGGGCATGTTAATTACCATTCCTGTTCAATGTTAGAACGATAATATCGTTAATATGATGTAAAAAATGTTGAAATATCTCATCCTTATTCATATCGCTCGTATAACTCGTTCGAAATTGTTACGTACTTCTGATGACTAGCAGATTTTCAAAACATATCTCGTAATGCTCTTGTCTCACCTTGTACTTGCGTTACACCACAAATGTTTCAGCTAAATTTTCCTCACCCCATGGTCGAGCTCTGAATTCGTCGTTTGCAAAACGAGTCACAGAATGAGTCACGAGAAATTTCAAAGGGGGTGGTGAATGTCTCTAAGGGTGTCACGTGGAGAAGCGCCAACTGTTACCCCCTCGACACTTGCGGGTGCACATGTGCTCGCGAGGGAATTTCAACATCGGTCCACGATGGGGTCGCGATGGACCCATGGGCATCCTTCTCGCGAACCACAAAATCCCCTGAGAACCCGAGCAAGTGCTCGGGCGAAAGATAGCACCGAGGGTGCAAAAGAGAAACGGGGATGAGAGGATCCCCGACATATGAAAGGGCCAGCCGGGATTAACGGCATATCGATTGATGGGGTCGGTTCGCGAAAGAAGTCATTTTTCTCGCGAATGAACTTTGAAAATCGCGATATCTCTTTGCTTTTATCCGTCATCGATGTCGTTACGATATTAATTAAAGCAATATTAATTATGAATATTTCTCTTTTTGTGCATTATATTTTTGTTTCGTATATAATCGACCTCGATTAAATATTAAATACGATTGCAATAATTATATAAATATGTACATAATTACAACTAATAAAATAAATTATGATCATAATTATACTAATATTACACAAACCTTTTATATAATAAATCTTTTTCATTAATTATTTTTCGATCAATATATTTCTGTTCATGATTAGAAAATGAGTATTTATTGTGCTAAAAAGTTAATTGCCATGCAAAATATTTTAATAAATGTTGTTTCCTATTATTAACGATATTCATTAATATTTATTTATTTGTTTTACGATTAAATAATGAGAATATGGCGCGAATATTAAAAAGTGTACTTACAGTGCCGCAACACCTGCTCGTTCGAACATCCACTACCGTCGATCGGTGACGTTGTCGATGGCGGTTCATTGACCATATTCGAACTCTTTGATGACGGATGCATTAGAAATAGTCCTCTTCCTTTACCGCCAATCGGTCCACCTCTACGAGAACCTCGCGGTCGGCCACGTTTGCTTGCGCCGCGTACCGATTGTCGCATACGAGCGTTCGCACCTACCCCGAAGGCAAAATGATGTCCAAGTCGGGCGATCTTGGGAGGAGATTCTCCAAATTGGTGAAGACTGCTTCGGGATTGTCCATGAAAGTCGCCACCAGAAACCGCTACCGGGCCATCCACATCGACCACGAGTCCCTCGTTGCTCGTTTCATCCTGTAAGGAGAAATCAAAGTATCAAGATATCAAGTATCAAGGATCACATAACGCTTATGATTATAGATAAGACGAAGCAAGAACGCTCTCAAAATATATTTGCTTTTAAATATGTCTTTTTAAATTAATTTTGTTTCCAAACATTTCATTTAAAACAAATAAATAAGTAGTAATAATTATTAATACACATAAACAATAAAAAATAAAAAATAAGAGAAATGTTTAATATTGCAATCTTGTTCAATAGAAACGTACTTCTGACTTGGCTGGGCTAGTCGGTGTGCTGTAATTATCTATATTTTCTAGTTGCTGTTGGTGATTGTTCTGGTGCTGTGACTGAATCGGATTGACGACCGGCTTAGGCTCATTAAGATTAATGTAAACGGTATCGTTGTTTTTGTCGCCATTAGCATCTGCTTGACACGGCTTCTTCGCATCGTTCTGAAAAGTAGAAATTACATCGCAAAATATAATTGTGAAAAATATGAAAGCTTTCTGCATTAATATTCTAATTTAATTAAGCATAAAATTAACAAGTTTTAATCTGAAATTTGCTTTGTAAATTAAATATATTCAGATAATTTATCAAACAATTATGAGCAATATTATTTTGACAAGTGGAAATAAAATTATTGAATAAAATTGTGGAATTGAAGGTATCGGTAAATTTGGTTGGTAATCGATAACATGTAAATGATAGGTAGAAGAAAAAAAATGGTGGTTAGAAAAAATGACGAAAAAAAGGTTAAAAAGAATCTTTGCGTCGCGACCGATAGCGGTATATAAGGGCGCCGGGCTCACCTTGACCGGAAGCGCGGTTAACTTCCTCTTCCGGTCCCTCTCCTTGTGCTGTAGGTTCAACTCGAGGCGAGCCTCCTCCGCTCGCTGCTGCTTTCTTTCCTCGCTTCGTTGGCTGTCTGAAATATACGGACGTATGGGCTTATACTATACGCAGAGGACGCGGCGGCGTTCGTTACTCCGTTTCTTATTATTATTCCTTATTAGGCCATTAGCATAAGCTAACGAGCATAATGTAATCGCGGCCACCTCAACCGCCCTCTCGTCTTCCCCTTTCGACTCATTTTCGACGCGTTTGTGCATACACGCGCGTCCTGCCGTGCAGATACGATAGAATGTTCGATAGTGACTATGAATAAAAGCTAACTATCCAACGACTCTTCAACAAATTATATTTTTAGATACGAATCTTAATTCGTTAGAAATTTTTATTTCATTAACTTTTATTTCATTAATTTTTCAATTTAAGAAAATATTTCTCAATAGAAAGAAAATATTTCTCAAATAGCGCCAGGTATTTCGGTTAATTAAAATTAAAATGAACTTTAATATGACAAAATCACAATTACCGAATATAGTTAAAGAAAAATAATAATATCTAAGATATTTACATTTCGCCTCGATTTCCTCATCGTCCAGTAATAGTGACACGACCTCTTTAGGTTTCAAAGTATCGGGTTTGAAATTTCCACCGCTTATGACCATACGTTGAATCTGCAAAAATAGTCTTTCTTCGCGTATGTTGTTTATTTAACTTTAGCACTTATATATGGCAATTTATAAAAACGAACCTCGCTTTTCTCGCGCGCTCTCTGTAAAATTCGCTCTTCGATAGTTCCTTTACATATTAATCGATAGACCGTGACTTGCTTGGTCTGTCCCAGTCTGTGGGCACGATCCATAGCTTGTTGGTCTACAGTGGGGTTCCAATCACTATCATAAAATATCACCTGTAAATAAATATTGTTAATTGTAATTGTGCAGCACCATAAAAAAACCGTAATACATAACTGTCGATGCGTGAAATAGCGCAGTTTATCAATGCTTCTTACGTGCAAAATAAACGCATAAACGCCCTCTTTTCTTATATAATATCATTATAAATCATCTAATGCGAAACTAGATCGTAATAACGTAATTGACATATAAAAAATAAAAATTAGTTATAAATAATTCAAAAAACTTTTTGCATAAGTATATAACTATCCTGTAATATACGCTCTAATTTCGTAAGCTTAGTTTTAAAATAAGTTTATAGACAGTTTATGTAATATGGAATCGTGCACAACTTGTGCAATTCTCATCGCAATATTGTATAGAAAAAGTATTGGACCGAACATGTAACGTCGAGGAAAGAATAACAGATTTGTTAAATCGATGGTAGAAGATTGGATGTTATGGACAATCTCATGATATTTTTATGCACGGAAGAAGCATATAGTCGTCTTTCATATACTTTCACTTTTCATTATAATATATAGAAAATATATTTTCTTATTTACGACATACACTGTCATGTAAATAATTTATTATAATTTAAAAAGTTATATGTAATCATATAATTTTCATGTATTGTATTAAATAAAGATTTTAAATTTCAAATTAATTAAAATTCGCAAAAAGAACAATATTAAATTCATAATTGATATTGACGAAAAAATCTATGATTCGCAGATTATTAGAATATATAATCGAGAAAAGTGAAAATTGAAAATCAAGATACTGAATAAAATATATACATATAAAATAGTATTAGGATAGGAATACAAACCGTATCTGCTGCCGTAAGGTTGATTCCCAGGCCACCAGCTCTAGTACTAAGCAGAAAGACGAATATGTCCGCCCTGAAACATAAAACAATCTCACAGATTCAACCAAGGAACAAAAGCTTTAGCCATTTTGTATGTAAATTAATTCGAGGCCAGACACATTTTTGAAACTCCAAAAACAAAATTTTTCTCATCACGATGCGAATATGTGATCTAATCATAAACATATTTGAGATTTCATTATTTTAAATGCTATTCTTTTTGTATTTCTTTTATATTTTTTTCTATTCCCAAGCGTATTAAGATATGACATATTAAACATTCTAAATACAAAGATACAAAAAGATAACATAAATTATACGAAAATAGCTATTTTGTTTATATAGTGATAGATAATCACTATATAAAAAATATTGTTAGGGATTTAATAGATATTATAGTAATAATCATTAAGCATTATCTAACAAGAGTCTAATGATGAGAACTTCAGTTTTGTGACTGTCGCGCGTTCGAAAACCTGCAGCTGTCTGCAAGATGGGGACGACTTGGCAATTAATTCGCATATTAGTTATGCGCGGTTGAACTACACAAAACATGCGATCTCGAGATCGCGCGCTCTCTTTCTCTCTCTCTCTCTCTTTAATTATGCAACTGAATACTGTTATGAGAAGATAGATATTCTAATCAGCATGACCAAACTATTATTATATTTTTTATTAAGAAACAACTGACGCTGCAGTTCTAAATAATTAAAATCACAATTTACGCTTATATTATTGGAAAATTCAAGTTTTCCATTACATTGTCGGACAATATTGTAATAACATTAACTTAATATACAAGATCATCATTGTAATAAATTATAAATAAAATTACCTTTTTTGAAAATCTGCCACCATATCCCGACGATCTGAGATTTTTGACGAACCATCTAATCTCATAAATGTGTGTTTTCTATGATACATATATTCCTATAAGAAATAAATTTCTTCGTAATAAAACGATCTGTCCGACTGTAGCAAATAAATAAATATATACCTCTAGTAAGTCAATCATTTTTGTCATTTGAGAATAGATCAATACTCTATGACCTTGTTCTTTCAAACGTCGTAAAAGACTGTCTAGTACAGAAAGTTTTCCAGCATCTGTCACCAATGTTTGTTTATCTAAAATAATTTAATTTATATTCAATTTTTATTAATGGATAGAATCATAAACATCAATATTTTTGTAATATCACATTAATACATATTTACATAAATACATATTAATGATGATACAATCTCGCTACTAAATATACCTGGTACAATGATATGTGACCATCCATTAATAGGTGCACACGCTGATAATCCACCTTGCGGTTGATAGCAAAACGTTGATATCGTTTGACCGGCACGAATACCCGACTTTGTTTCAGATAGTGCTCGTTCGCAGCCAAGCCAAAGTAATCTTTGACCAAACGGACCACCACACTCCTCGTGCCTCTTCCAGGCACATGCTGCAGAACTATTACTAACGTATAATTTTCGCGGACTAGCTTGAACCTAATAAAATGAAAAGACATCAAACACTTCTTATTCATTTCTTATTTTTTTGTTGAATTAGACAAAATTGTATTAACCTTGGGATTATTATCGCAAACAAAGGCAGGAATCGTTGTCTGTTGGTAATATCGCATTATAGGCTGCCGTGGATGATGAGGATGTTCAGGAAGCAAAGCCAATTTTGAATCTTCCGTTTGTTCCATTTTGCCACTTGGTAGAATCCTTTGTAACTAAATTTAGACATTGCATTATATTTATGTTTTGAAAATTTACGCGATAATGGATGTAAGATGTAATTACTTTTAATAGTTGATTGGCCTTTTTACTACTACGTAGTATTCTATGAGCGACAGTTTCCGGCATCGAATGTATCGTATGACTGGTATGTGTGTAGAAAGCCTCACCCTCAATTATCTTATTAGTAAAAAATATATCATGTAGTGTTGTCGACAAAGCGTCAAATTTTCTAGGCAAGTGAAACATTTGATTTGTAGGTGTTCTCGATTTATTATCGATACACCAATTTTCCCAGTATTGTACCATTCTTAATCTTCTTTCCATAAACGTTATAAGACATAATCTGTATATATAAAAATATTTACAAAAGATTGAAATTGGTAAGATAATATATTATTTTTTTAACATACTAACTTTACATACCTAAATAAGGTACCAGCAGTAAACGTTTTATTAATTTCCATCGGAGATAGATTAATAAATCTACTAAATGAAAATGTATTTTCGCGCAAATCATCATTGCAATGAAGAGCACGATGAATGTATTCTGCGGCAAATATAAACAGTCTATTATACAACAGATGATCTTTGGATGGTAGTGCTAGATGCAAAAGTCCCTCATTATACAACAAAGCAGGCATATTATAAAATTCTGTATTCATAAAAAATGGCGATTTAGCATCCCTACGTTCGAAGAGTTCTGGATGATTACAGACCTGTAAAAAATATGTTACATATTATTAAAAACATGGATATTATTGACTATGGATTATTTTGAAACATATCAAAGCTGACACATTGTGACAGTTACAATCGCTATGATTATTATTATCGTGAACGATGTTAGTATTTTAATAAAAATATATGTAACAATACCTTCCGGAACTGCATGACTAGATTCATTAGATTGGAAGTAAAGTTTTTATCATTAGATGCAGTATCTCCTCCACCCACTGTATAATGCAGCAAATCTTCTATCCGAATTTTTTTCTTCAATGCTGCAAACAAGATAAAATGTATCAAATGCTCTATATATTTAACATTTGCAAAAATAAAATCAGAATACCTGAATAAAGCAACTTTTGACGAGTCGTAAGTGGACAATATACCATCACCTCAATCTTATCGGATAATTCATTTTCCACATCTTTTTTTATTCTTCGTAACATGAAAGGTTTCAAAATCATATGAAGCCTTGATAAGTGTTCTGTAACATAAAATTTATAACGTATAATATTTTGCAATTAATAACGTACATAATTATTCTCTATTTAATTATATTTTGTGCAAAACTCACTTTCATCTATTCCCGTTTTATTCTCTGCGTGACTTTCGATATCTTTGGAAAACCATTCGTTAAATTCATCATGCGAATCGAACAATGTAGGCATAATTAAAATGTAATAACGCCCATAATTCTGCCATACTATTTTGTATAGGAGTACCACTGAGTAATAATCTATTACGACAACTAAATCCCAATAACAATTTCCATCTCATGCTGTTAAAACAATTAAAATATGGAGAGAAATTATTATTACGCAGCTATGATATAATAATGATAGGACCATAATAAAATACCATACCTGCTTGTGCTTTTTATAGCTTGTGCTTCATCCAAGATCATATATTGCCATTTTATCCTATTAAAATATTTATAATCCGTAATTACTAATTGATAACTTGTTATTACAACATGGAAAGAAGCTTCCTTGGTATGCAAATCTTTAGTATCCCAAAATTGTCTGAGTATCTTGCGTTCTTGAGGATTACCCCAGTAGGGAACTACTTTGAATACTGGTACAAATCTTGCCATTTCTTGTTGCCAGTTATGTAATGTTGAAGCTGGTGATATAATTAAAAATGGTCCCCAAACAGCTAAAATTAAGGGCAAATTACATATATCAAATTATCAAGTTAATTTTTGCAAAAGCTTTAATGATGTGTGTTGTATGTGTAAAATATTTAATTATTATAATCAAGTTTAGTTAATAAATATTTACAATATCTCTCGGCAACGTGACATAAAAACGCTATAGATTGTACAGTTTTTCCCAGACCCATCTCATCAGCTAGTATTCCACTAATACCCTGAAAACAATCAATAAATTAATTTTAGAAGCTTATACTTAAATAAAAAAATATTTTATAATCCTAATAATATAATATATATAATTACAAACCTGATCATACAAATTTGCCAACCAATTCATTCCTTTCAACTGATAACCTTTTAGATTTCCTTTAAAAATCGAAGGTTGAGGATGTTCCAAGTTTTCAGGTGTGTCACTAAGACGTAATTCTTGAGAGGCAGCAGCTGTATCAAACTGCTTGGTCCTAGCTTTTTCATTATTAAATGCTTCAGTAGCATTTTTCTTTGCTTTTTGTTTCATGATCTCACTGCATGTTTAATAAACATACTTTTTTTATAGTTAAAATATAAAAACCAAAATAGTTAAGCTTTCATTAATTACACTCCATATACAAACATACACCCATACATTCACATATACAACCATTATTAAAGTAATTAATTTTAATAGATGCGCACATACAAATAAAAATAAAATTATAGAAATATTTTATATAAATACCTATCATAATCATCAATACCAATAAGTCTGGGATTCTTTTCTTCATCCAACTGATTTAAGATTCTCAACTGCTCCTCTGCCGATGCTTTATCTATTTTTCGCGACATAAAATGAGCATATAATTCTGTTTGAGTAATAAGAAAATTTAATTTCCTTTGTTGACGTTTTGCCTGAAATAAAATAAATATAAAAGTATTTGTAAAAATAGAAGACAGAAATATAAAACATATTTTTCTACTCCAATATATCCTTACTTCAATAAGTTCTACGTCCATTTTACGCTGTTCTTCAGCTTCTTTTTCTAATCTTCGTCTAGTTTCTCGTTCGACTCGATCATAACGTTTCCAATAAGACTGCATTTCTCTTGTCAATCGTTTGGCTCGCCAGATAGTTTCTTTCATATTTTTCTGCGACTGAATCATTGATAAAGATAAATTATATATATGATTTTTACATCAAGTGAGAAAACTAGATAGAATTTAAATTACCTGCATGGCTTTCTGCCTCCAATATTTCATACAATGCTGCGCTACCTTTTTACAACTTATTAGCATTTCCTTATGATTATTAGTTTTGGCCCTTTGTACTTTTCCTAATTCTTTTTTAGACATCATCACCCATATTTTTCTTCTTCTCATCGTCATTACCTCTACACTCTTCGTATTATGTTTTTTCCTTCCTCTACCTCGAGGTTGATGACGCATTATCGCTTCTAATTCAGATTCATCTAACTCTTCCTCCCTAGGAATTGATTTATCCCATTCTCCTTCTTGAAATTCTCCTCTCTAAAAAATATAAAATTTGTTGTAAAAAGAGAACAAGTGTCAATATAAAAGTAATATATAAAAATTGATACATACACGAAATTCCTCAGATGTACAGTGACGATTATTTTTTTCTTTCTTGATTTTCATGATCTTTTTATCTGGTTTTTTTTCTTTCTTTTTCTTATTTCCCACAATCAATTTTTGATGCTCTAGAAATCTATCATAATTTGACAATAAACCCGCACTATAATACTGATATTGTATATTCTGAAAATATACAATATTTTTTTATAACATCACGAATTGTTTTAACATTTAAATTGCTAAATATATAATGCTTAACTATCATTGTTCTTACCTCTGGTTTCTGATAAAAACGGCCTTGAAATTTTTTTCGTAATATGTGGAACTTTAGCATTTCTTGAAAATCTTCTTCTGTAATCTGACTATCTGAGTCAGAGCCTGAACTATCAGAGGAATCACTTAAAAGAATATCTTGTAACCAATGTCTTTCTTCTCCTACACTAGACATATTATACACCCTCAATTTATTGATTCTTGCTTCTACAAAAAGAATAAATATTATAGGAAAATATATTATATTTTTCAAATAAAAATTAAAATGAATGATTTGTGCCAACCTTCCTTTCGAGTGGGTACATTATCAAGATAAGCATCTGAACCATCAGAAGATTCCGATGAGATAGACTTGTCATCTTCACTGAAAAGAGAAATGAAATATCTGTATTATTACATATAGCATTAATTTATGTATCATTAAGATATAAATTAGAATAACAATGTGCTTGACAAATGATAAATATTAATACCTAGCTTGTTCTTGAAAAAGATCGTTGACTTGCTTTAAGAAAGGCTGTACATTCAGACTACGTTCTAGTCTCTGCAGATGCAAAGGCGCAGCCATTTCGGCTTCCAGCTTCATTGTGTTTGCTCTATCAGACATTACCCGTCTACGAGAAACTCAACAATCTGTAACAATGCACAATGAATATAATGACAAGATTCTTTGAACTTAGAGAACAAAGCGATTTAATTTTTCTCAAACTACCAATACATATAAAAGTCTTTAGTAACATGCAGATTTTATAGCGAACCAAACACCTAGTTAATTTACTAAAATATATACTAAATATATAGAGTGACAAATACACAGATTTGAAAAGGATAACTCAAGTTCTTTCTTCTAAAGTATGCAAACTCAGTGAAAATTATGAAAAAGCATCGTAGAACATAACAAAAATAACGAGAATGCGAACGTTACGCGATGTACGAGAGGCATCGTCACGATTTATCGGGACGAGAAAAGGAAAACATGCGTATTCCCGTTTCCCGATAGTAAACCACGGAGAAGGCTTCCCGGCTAGGCTGCTCCTGTGCACCAGGGTATCTCATGTTTCTAGCGGCGGACGGCGCATATTACGGGCGTGGAATTGGCATGCGGGATCGTGCGCGGCTAATTTCATTATATAAGGCGAATGACACGTCGTATCGGGAGCTAGTACGGTTATAATTCGACTAAATATCTCGTCAACGGGTTTTGCTTTCACCTTATGTTTTGGTTATACGCGGCCCTGCTTATTTCGCACGCGTAACAGAGCCTACTACTGGATTGCGATTTCCTCTGTTCACAGCGAAATTGGATACATCGGTCGAAGGGGAATACATGATAGAAGGAAGCCTAGAGAACGCAGACATTTGGCGTGCCATTAAAGCGGGGCAGGGATAGGGCATATTGCTCGCCACCATTTTTGTTTTCAGTAGGTGGCGCTGTCTACCGCATCCGTGCGCGCAGCTTCGGCCGGATCTCTGAATACTTCCCGGATCTCGGTATCCACCTGTACGTATGTACACAATTACGACCCAGATCTCGATCCATTTTCTGGTATATGCCACGGCGAATGATCGCCCTGCCTGCAAACGCGAATTCAATGTTCTCACGCTGCGCCGTAGAGAAACGCGCGAATCTACAAAATTTATATGAAGCTACAACGAAATGCCGGCCATTTTTTTTTTGTAAAGGAAATCGTGATGCAATTTGCATCTCGAGCCCTTTATCTACAGTTTGATATCGAGAATGTAAAGAAATTATTAATCTTCTGAACGCCGAGTTTGTGTTATCAGAAACAAATGCAGACATCATTTTTTTCATCTTTGCAATCGAATATAATCAAATTATCCTCACGTGTTATCTTTCAGCATTCTAAAATGCACGATTCTTGTGCGACATGTTACAGATTAATACGCGCGATCCTCACAAAGATCAATTATTTTAGTTTATATGATTATAAAGATTCTAACGATACGACAAAAATATTGCAAAATCTTGGTTACGAAAATGAGAATTCTTTTTACTCAATCGTTTCTTTATGATCAAAGAATTGATAACATGAAATGCGCGTATTTGCATTTCAATAGCATTTACTTCTGGTGCATTTTTAATTACATTTTCAGCTGGACGAAACTCCTCGTTCCGATCGCACGACCTGCCTTTCCGAATAATTCCAAAATTCAAATCACACGACTATGCGAGTCATACTTCCGGTTATGCGCATCCTAGCCTCGAATCCGTATCACCGGAAGTGCTCGCGATTAACCGTTAAGGTATTTCGTCGATAAAGGCCACTAGGTCATTTCGACGTTGATGTAAGTATCTAGCAAAATTAATATAAAATCTCTCGATTTTATCGAATCGTATCGCAATCAACTGAGAGATCAAAACTCATGAAGGCGAACGAACTACGGGATGAGGAATCGCTCCCCCATACCATCGCTCGGCGGAATGCTCTGTCTTTCTTGCTCGCATTGCTCTTACGAAACGTACCTACATTCATGCCCCATTTCCGATTCAACGTGGGAACTTTTGTCCATCATAGGCATTAAACGCCAGACGAATTCTTTTTCCCTCCGGCGCATGTCTCTGAGGGCTACGTTCGAAAATACCACCCGAGTGCCTCCGTGTATCATTTTATCCTTGTTGTTTATCGAATGTTAAACAAGGACAAGACGATACACGGAGTCACTCGGGTGGTGTTTCCGAACGTAGTCCAAGTGGGAGAGGAAGTGGGGCCGTCTGTCGTCGAGGCTTACGGCGGCCCTGCATACCGTCGTGTGAACCCCGTTTTGTTTCCGTTGTTGCTACGAGGCTGCCTCGCGCCGACGAATCGCCCGATCAGTACCTTCCACAGTTTTGTCGCTTTAGCATCGTGTGTGAAGGCTTAATTACTGGAGGTTACTTCGAGTTGAACATTCAGGTGAGTACGGGCGATTGAAATATCTCGTAATAATTTCCGAAGAGAAGAACGATCTGCGAGCTACGGAAACAGAAATCCCCGGATCGAAGCGTTACTCGTGCAACATGATGTAACGCGGGGCGTTTGCGCCCTTACGGACACACTGGTCCTCCACCAGCTTTCGTTCCCGCTGAGCATAAAAAAACGAATATTCGCTTCATAACACGAACGTCTTGCGAAGGAGAGAGAAGGAAAAGGAAAAGGACGCGCGTCTCGAGGAAAGTGGAGCACGCGGCGGCGCGTCGCGTCGCGCATCTTTGTTTATGCTCATCGGGCGCGTCGAAAACGCAAATCATTCCGCAGCCATTATTCCAACTCGTGGTATCGCTCGCGACGCAATTAACCAGTGGCGTCTTCCGTATCGATCGTACCGGTTCCGACGAGCGTGGCGTCTGAAATCGGCGGACGTTTCTGGAAATTTCGATGCGACCTCTCATGTCGCGCGAGGATTTCCTCTTTTTTATCTTCTCTTTTTTCCCCGATCGAATCTGTTTTGCGTACATTGCGTATAAAAAGAAATCTCGTTCGTCCTCGAGTCGCTTCACGGCGTAAAACTGCAAAAAGTAGCCATGCGCACTTACCGGAAAGTCCCCTCCCCCCCCCGTACTTTCATTTTAAGGATGCGAACACTGTTTTACCGAAGAAAAAAGAATGTCAGGAATAATTAATGACGTGCTTTCCATACATTTATGCATTAAGGCATTATACAATACATATGTAATCGAATAATACAAATTGTTGATTAGTCCAATGTATCCTGTTAAAATTAAGCAATATATAATTTGAATTTACTTTATTCATTAAAAGAATAATTATAGAAACACCATATTATGTTTGTTTATTAATAGAGTTTATTAATAATTTACGTTTAACTGTTTCTCGGTTAAAATCTTGGAAAATAACGATTATCTTATGTTGTGATTAAACGGCAGGTTCTGCAGGTAGCCTGTTATGTAAGGTGTTTTTATATTTTCCTTTAAGAATGAGCACTCGAGTATTCGTTGGTGGATTAACATACCGGGTGAGAGAGCGCGACCTTGAGAAGTTCTTCCGGAAATATGGTAGAATCAAGGAGGTCGCTATGAAGAATGGATTTGCCTTTGTGGTAAGTCTAATGTGGTTCAATTGTTTTTTTTACAGTATGGTAGGGACAAGGGTCTATGTCGGTGGGCTTCCATACGGCACCAGGGAAAGAGACCTTGAGAGATTTTTCAGAGGCTACGGTCGATTCCGTGATGTTCTCATCAAGAATGGTTATGGCTTTGTTGTAAGTATCTGTATTCAGCTGTAAATATCGTGAGAGTTAACACTTTGCGTATTGCTCAATTTGGTCTTGCAATAATATTTGTCTGCCTTTGCAAACAGTGCAACTTTAAACAAATCATGGGCACTTATAATTCTAAATATTAAAAAAAATTTTTTCTTTTTTGCATTTCTAAATTGATTAAATGTTATAAACTAAATATAGCATGATGTTTTGGAGACCCATTGCATTTCTAGATATTATTTTTTATTGTATTTGTGACTAAAACTTCATATTTATATTTGGCACTGCAATTTTCATTCTTTACAATGTAAGTTGCAATGCAGTTGAAAGAAAAAAATTGTTTTGAAAAAAGTTTATTCCTCTCCTTGTTATAATTTGGACCAAAATGAGTAAGCTGCAGAATGTTAAGTTACAAATACAACTCGATAACCTGAGTTGACCTGACCTGAGCCCTGAGCACATTGGTACTGTGGCTGTTTAGTGGAGCTGTGTGCTGCTTATCATCGATTATTCTGCAAAAGCTTTGTAAGTTTATGTATAACCGGGGAAGCTAAACCAATTTATAATGAGCCATATATTATCAGATAATTAGTATATATCAATAATTTGAAATTTTATAAGCACTTACAATAATCCAAATTGTGCACTCTTACATATTTACATATATAATTATATGATTTATTTGTTAAGTTAAATAATATATTCTACTATAACATATTCTATAACATATTCTACTTTTAAAACTTCCTAACAAACAAAGAAAATTAAAATATTAAAACTTCAAATAATTATAAATATAAAATTTTATTGTCATTTTGATACATCTATATATTTCTGTTACATACTAGTTCTTCTATACCAGTTGATTTTTATTTATATTATTTACAGTTCATGAATAATATATTGGTATTTATAACAACGATATAAAAACTTTTTTTTTATTTATATTATATATTGCATAAAAATATGTATTAATAATACACGTATCGAGCGATAATGTCGCATGCAAGCAATACTGAAATAATAACAAAGCTATATATTGTTTCTGAATAATAACGAAAATATTTTTTTTTCTCGTAGGAATTCGACGACTACAGAGACGCAGACGATGCCGTCTATGAATTAAATGGAAAGGAACTTCTAGGAGAAAGGTAATGCAAATCTATTTCAATTAATGTATGAAATATATATGTACTAGGCGATTATATTAGGCGGAATGGTATAGGTAGCATGCTTGCATGACAGAATAGTTTCTATAACGATCCATTTAGTATGTGGATTGTTACTGTGATTACATTGTTTGAATTTTATAATTATAATATTATTGGTACTAGGGGTTTTCTGTTTAAGTTAAGCAAATGTAGAGATCAATTTTTATGCTAACACACTAAAAATGAAAATATCAAAACTAATATATTACGTAATAGATATAATTCCTTCCTGTAGATTTTTATGCTATATAAATTACACTCTATTAAATGTAACAATCTTGGGGGAAAATATTTTTCGTTATTTCAATACACACAGGGATAATAATGATGCTTGATTAATTTTTATTAAAACTGACAAAAATTATTTATTGAAACATAATATAGTTAATTCATAATAGTTTATTTTTAGTATGTGATGCTGATGCGATAATTTTTAGATTGAGTGATAAATAATTTTCGATTCAAATAAAAATTATTTATTTTTAAGTGATTAAACTCCAACTAGATCAGTTTTGGCTAGTTAATTTATAAGTCGTTTAGGAAATAGACTTTTTTAGGATCATTAAAAGTATTGAATTAGTAAAGAAAAAGAATAAGTGTTTGTTACTGGTGATTTATTTCAACATGATTCCTTTTATGCGTAGATTGACAGTATCTTATTATCTCAAACAAACAGTTCGTTATCAGCTTATTTTGTTCTTGTTGCGTCGTTCGAGATTAGATTGACACGTGTGAAGCAATAGCATTCGAATTAAGAGAAAATTGTTCTATGTAATATGCAAAATAATTTCCTCTGGAAAATTTTCTTTTCCACATGCTTTTCTCCTTCTTTCTGTTTTTCTTTTGGGAATTTATGCAAGTGTGTCAATAATATTAGTAGTTTTCAACATAGAGTAAACTTTGTAAAAGAAACTGACAAAATACAGCCGAATGCAGTGGCAGTATTCTCTTAACGCTCTAATCACATTGTATTTCAACCTGTACCAGTAATATTATTTGCTGTTGCTTCTATCTGATTAAAGACAAATGTACAGTGCACAATTTTTCTGTTCGCATTTAACGGGCGTTCCGTTAATGCCTTTAATTTTGCATCTTTAGTAAACGGCGTCTGTCCTCCAAATTAACGATTGGACATTTATCGAGATAAAAATGTGTCTTAAATGATCATTACGACCGCCATTTTGAACTACTTCCATCAATTCCCCGAATAGAAAACGATCAATCATAATAATATATCTTCGTCTGGAGAAATATTATATTGCTTCTTTTTTGCCAAAAAATTTGATACATATGCTTTTTCATAAATTTATCGTGTGATCCTGTGAAATGTCATTCCATCTTGCTCTAAAAAAAAGAGAGAAAAATTTAGACATAAGAATCACGGATATAATTATGAAAAAGCTGATGGATGTGGTAAAAGAGAATTAATTCGGTGATAAGTAGCATTCGTATAAGGAAGACAGCTTAGATTATATAAGGAAAAGGGGTCGTGAAAGGAGGGAGAGAAAGAGAGAGAAAGAAAGGGAGGAGAGACTGAGAGGGAGAGATAGGGGGAAAAAGAGAAAGAGAGAGGGGACAGCGCCTCAGACGAAACCGGACGATACTGAGGTACTGAGAGAGGGACGGATGATATGTGAACGCGGATTTCGCGGAGAAAGGAGGCTGAGGAATGGAAAAGGAATAAAGGAAGGAAGGAAGGAAGGAAGGAAGGAAGGAAACGCCTTTAGAGAGTAAGAATTAGTCGTGGACTTAGGCGGGGTTTTGTTGGGTGTGTTTCAGAGTGGCGGTGGAGATAGCACGGGGTGTTTCAGGGAGGCGAGGCGACCGTGGCTACGGACGCTCACGCTCCTGGAGAGACAAGTAAGCATATCCAATGTGTCTTGTTACAGAATTACTGTAGAGAGGGCCCGGGGGACACCTAGGGGTAGTGACCAGTGGCGCTATGGTGACTCCCGTGGTGGTTATGGGGACTCGAGGCGATCTGCGTAAGACACGCTATCCTTTTTTTATTTTATCAGAGCGATCATTATCCCCTCCCCTGCAGGCAACCGACTCGGGATGTGCGAAATCCAAACGATTGACTAATTTGCTTCCCATTTGTTCGTTAAAACACCTTTATCTTGTAAATAAATTGTTTTATTTCGTTTTTCGTTTGCTTTTTTGTTACATTTTTCTCTTATTGCCTCTCGTAGTTATTTTTTTTTTTTTTTTTGTTTCATACCACGTGGCTGATTTCGCACATCGTCCGCACAGGGAAGAACGTAACCTTGGATATTGATAAGCTCTAGCGTAGAGAGGGCGTAGAGACGTGCGATAAACCACGCGTTTTGCAAGCTTCTCTTGCCTTTTGCGCATACGAAAATATATATTTGATTAGAGATATCGACGAGAGATTTTATCTTCTGAATTGGTTGTCTTGGATTTGACTACTCTCCCGAGTATGTCGAATTGTCAAAGTTACACCGCGAAAAAGTGATAGCAAGATAACGCCTAGCGATACCCTCCCAGACATTATGTTTATTGGTAGCTGAACGAGGTGAACCGATATAATTGGCGACTAATAGATGTGTGGTATTGTGTTTGTTACAGCCGAGACGATATGCGGCACGACAGGTACGCTATTGCTGCATTTTGAATAGATTTGATTCGATTGGAACAGGTGATTGATTGTGTGCCTGAGCAATGAGTGCAGATCTGTAGTTATTTGCTGAAGGTTTTACCGACGATCCGTTATTTCTGTTCACATGACATCCCTTTTTGCAGAGATAGTGTGAACAGAAACACGAGGACTGCATCTAGCTACAAGCAATCATTGCCCAGGTACATACATCCAATGTTACGCTCTAACGATTATAGCTTAACTTATACAAACTTAACTGTTGCAAAGTTGTCTTGAATTATATCATTATCGAGTTTTATACCATATTTTCATTCGTTACATTAACGTAAAGTCAGGTCCAAGACAAACCTGCTTACTTTAGAAACATACAAGTAGATAATAGCACGCCTTTTTCCCATTGTAGATACGGCCCACCAACACGAACTGAGTACCGCCTCACTGTGGAGAATTTGTCGAGTCGCGTTAGTTGGCAGGTAAGTGACACGCGCGTATCTCGCTTTCTTCTTTCTTCTGTATTTTTACCGATACTTATCTTCGTTGGTTTGATTACTATTCGCGATTTCAGAGAAAAAAAAAGAACGTTGCACTGCTTTATATGGGTTTTTCGAATTTGTATATCACTCTGAATTTCTCTAAGTTTTACCGAGTTTTTCCACAATCCGTTTTTTCTATTAAATTCTTCGTGTGTCGATACGTAGCATTTCTTTTGTTCTTCTATTCTCTTTCGTCTCATTTTACGTTTATTTACTCAGAAAAAGAGCCCTATTTTGGAATGTAAAAAGATGTAAGAATTTGATCAAGTAAGTCTATGGCAAAAATTGAAATCAGATTTTCATATATATGTGCAAAAATCACTTTTCACGAAAATGAAAAGAAAGCGGAAATCCATACAGACGATAGAGATACCAGAATTAATACTCGAGATATGCTGCAAGAAACATGTATGGCGTATCGTCGTCGTACCCGACACAAGGACATAGGTATGCACGAAGGAACTCGGAGCCCGTAACAATGGCCCGTGATGAAACGAGCACAGCCAGATACTATGGGAGGAAAATATTCAGCGGACACCATGGACGCGAAGAGCTGTAAAGCGGAAGAAACGAAGTAACGATTACGAACGGATGGAAAATGGAGACAATGGACATAGATCGTGACACAGAGATGAATGTAAACGATATGTGGGAAATACCAGGACGCAAAGAGATGCTTTTGAGACCAAAAAGCCATACGATAAAAAAGTCGTACCAGGTACGACTCGAAATGAGCACAGACTACTTTACATGCATATAATGCACCAAGTCTTACTTGATCAATTTACATTGTGTCTATTCATATATTGCATATATAATCTATAAAAAAATAATATATTTTTTCTATATCTATCGTTGCACTTTTCCGATGATTGGTTATTTGATGAAAAAATATTCTCTCAATTGATTGTTCAACGTTACTTTTTCAATTTATTATTTCATTTACGTTCGGCCAACAGTTTGAGAAAAACGAAATAAAATTGATGTTCTTTCCGAAGAGCCATATCCTCTTCGCCGAGGAGGGGCGACCGATAGGGCCAATAGACTGATGATGTGCGATGATAGAGATGACGATGCACGCGATGGGCCCGCCTTAAGGTCAAGTGGCACCAGGTTGGTTTCTGAGGTGTCCCGGGTGACAGAGAGAGCCGCGTGGCACTGGGATGTACACCTACCACCACCTATCTACCACCATACTACTACTCGCGCGCAGTGATACGTGGTGAATCCCGGTGAAATCCCAGTGATAGGGTTATTGTGCGTACTTCGAACCTCTTCATCGTGATCACTGGGAAAAAAAGAGAGAGAAAAAGAAAAACAGAGATCCAATCACCGCTACTTTATTCGTCTGGGAAACAAACATTTATTTACGTAAACAACCTCCACCATCAGTATATATCATTACTCTTCCTTTTACTATAAACCGACATAATCATAATTCAGTACTTTCACCATCGACCATAATTACAACCACCATAACCACCATCACCACCACCACCACCACCACCACCACCACCACCACCACCACCATCACTACCACCATCACATCTACCACTCCACTGTGACTGTCATTGCTACTGGTACGCCATGCAACCTAGCCATCTAGTAAGTCAGGCAACGGCCACACCCATGAGGGCATACGCGAGCCGAAACCCGTACCATCCGCGACTACGCCACACAGATCCGTTCGACCCGACCGAGCGCCGTGTGTCTGGCCTTTCTCTCTGTCCGTAAGCAAGGTGGTGCCTGGGCCCAAGGTAAATGCGTCACCTTAACCGAGTGTACTCTTAGATATACACATATATATCTATTATAATTACACATTTTTGAACGTGTCTTGTTCACTATATATAAATATAATAATTATATATCTAATCTATATACACCTTATTATTTAATATTAACTGTGCACTATAGCTCAGGCATTGTATACATCGAATGTTCGGATGTTTACGAAACTCAGAGCTGTGCAACTAAATGCGAAATTGGAAATAGGGAATTAGTGATATATTCATGTGCTCGAAATTAGAAATCTACTTGTTACTCAAACAATCTTGTGTCTTTATACTTCGATATTAAAATTAGGATTTTCTTCACTATCAGCGATTAACGTCTTCCTATCGCGTACATTTTGTCAGAATTTTTTATTTGATAGCGAAAGGCCAACTTTTCTTTATGCAAAACAATTTATATCATTACATTATATATTTTGAATACAGCCAGCGAGGAATGAAATTTCAGAGGAAATTCGTCCAGCGTCGGAAATGTCTTCGGCAATGGCATGCGTGAAACATTCTACTTTTTTTTTCTTTTTTTTCTTTCATTACATGGAAATATTTGCGCTTGGACCTTGACACCAACATAAATCACAGAAAGACTGCTGCCAAGGTATTCTGCAGACTTCTGCGCTCTCTCGTATTCATTGTAAAATAACGGACATACAGGCACATCTGTCTACCTAGTACTTCCACAACACTAAAGCCGTACCTGGTTCCCACAGAGAGAGATATACATAAGCACATCTTCCAGCGATGAATGAACGCAAATGGACTAGACAATATCCATCCTCACTCGCTGATATCCCTTACAAGGAATGACTAAAACATCAGAGAGCATGTGTAGAAGAGACAACGGAATATGGAAAGAGAATGGATAATACAGAAGAGACATCATGCTCATAATGTAGAGAGTAACTTTGCAACATCAAGAGAAAAGATCCACGAAAGTATCAAACGGGAGAAGAATCATCGATGAACTTGCTATGCTTTTATTTTTTAGCGAAAGATTAATATATGATTTTCATCTTTTTGAATTAATTCTTATGCTCACCAAACTTTCTTTTTCTATTGCGATGTAGTATTCTTTTAGATTATCTTTGGAATACAGTAATTTCCTGAATAATTATATTTGCGTGTGTGTATATATTTGTGATATTACGCACGTGCACATGCTCCTTAAAATTTTTTATTTTTGCTTTTTAGAGCGACTTTTTTGCAATTACTTTTACAATTCTTGTTGGAGAATTTACATATCGTTTAAAATAATTATCAAATTTAAAGAGATTACATTTACATATTTTTCATTGCATAGATATCATATATTAAATATTGTATTTACTTTTGTAATTGTATTGTGAGCCGTTTTGCAGAAATATTTTCTTTCAAAAATATTGATTTATATGAATATATCAGAAAAATATATCATTCTGCAAAGCGGAGCTGTGTATGTATAAAATTATAATCACGTTTATTTTGAAGATTGAATTGCATAAAAAGAAAGGTTGCGTCGATAAACAGATACTAAATTCGAGCACACAATTCGTAATATCATCACTTTCAACACTGAAGACACGCGAGCAGATGTAGACACCATACTATGCTTGTCTCTTTCTCTAGTCTAGTAGACCCAGGTTACCTCCCGCAAGGAAAGAAATCGAAATAGAACATAACGTATGAGTGCACAGGATATATTTAACCTGCGCGATACATCAGACTAGGAACACAGTATAGTAAAACTCCAGCTACTAATTCTAAATCTATTCGCGTATTTTTGCAAATTGACAAATAAAATTAAATTAATTCTGGTTCTTGTGTGATGTTCAGGATTTGAAGGATTACATGAGACAAGCAGGAGAAGTGACATATGCGGATGCTCACAAGCAACGTAGAAACGAAGGGTAAGTAATATTGACTATAGGAGGTAAAATTGCTCCAATAATACACATGAGAAAAAAATAACAAAAGAGAAGTCATTGATTTTATTCATAAATATCGTCTTGTGTTTTGTTACCTAACGAACGAAATTTGTTTTTTGCAGAGTTGTCGAATTCGCGACGTACTCCGATTTGAAAAACGCTATCGATAAATTAGATGACACAGAATTGAACGGGCGCAGAATTAGACTCATCGAAGATAAGAGACGCGGCCGTCGTTCAAGATCTTCTAGTTCGAGATCGCGTTCCCGATCTCGTTCTCGATCACGTCGTCGGTCGCGCTCCCGTTCAAGGTATAATCGTCGTTCTCGATCCCGATCAAGGTACTGTCGGGGCGACATTATGTCACCTGTTATGTTTTTCTATTATGATTTATTTATCTTTTTTTTTTTTTAATATAATCGTTCATAGCTCGACAGTCTATATGAAATGATCAATACTTATATTATTTTTAATTACATTTTTATTTATTTTTTTTTTTAATTTTGATATCAAATAACAATTGATATTAAAATTTAATTTTTTAAACTAAATTATAAATTCACTCCTAAATTATTTTAATTAAAATGAATTAAAATTTTGTCCTTGTTGAATGATCGTCGCAAAACTTCTCATACAATAAAATAGTTTTGCGACTATGTCGAAAATTATATTTTAAAACATTAAATACGTTTTTTGTTTTTCATAATACAGAAGCCGCCGCAGTTCCCGTAGCCACAGCCGTCGAAGCACCCGTTCCAAGTCAAGAGCACACTCAAAATCCAAGTCCAAGTCCAAATCCAAATCTCCTGAGCGTAGTCGCTCACGTTCTAAATCCAAGTAAGTATTTCTGTAAGACTGTTCTACACGTTCCACATCGGTCAGCTGTTTGTTCTTCTATAACTATGTTTATTTAAACTTATTTTATTTTTTTTCTTGTCGTCAGTTAATCGTCACGATCAGTGTACACACTCTCATTCCCATTTATTATTGGCATTGTTTTTGGGCTGGCTACGTGCCTTGAGCTCTCACGCTTAATCACGCTTTACACGCGTTCACCTATTCACCGAGCGCGCGCTTGGATATCAACAAAAAAAAAAAGAAAGAGAGTTTCTTTGTATTTTGTCAACTTTCTCTACTTTCGTATCCCTTTCATTTTGAACTATAATTTTGCAGATCAAGAGACCGCTCAAAGTCGAAATCTAAGTCAAAGTCCAAATCCAGATCTCGTTCTAGGTCCAAGGCTGAGAGGTCAAAGTCCAGGTCGCAGTCCAAATCCAAAGCCAAGTCTCCCTCAAAGTGAGTCCTCTCGCTGGTCTTTTCTTTAGTCGATACATAGCTGGCGCAAGAAAATTAAATATTCTCGAACAATGACACAAACAAACATCCTAAATGCCGATCCTCCTTTTATAGGGATAGATCGAGCCGCGAGCGTTCCAGGGGCGATAGATCCAGATCCCGATCGGGAAGCAAACACAGCAAAAGCCGTAGCCGCTCTCGTTCGCCCATGAACGGTGACAAATCGCCGGAAAGCAGCAAACAAAAAGCCGATTAAGCAAACACATTAAAAAAAGATTCAGGAATCTATTATTTCTGCCCTTCTCTTTTCGTTTACCTTTTTTCACTCCTTTTTTATATCGAAGTTACAAAAAAAAATTAATATCTTGTATCATTGCTAATCATCAATCATAATGATGAGATTTTACGTTATAAGATTTTGTACATTATATCGAAATTCTATCGTACTTCGATATTTAATGTGTAATTTGAAATATCCAATATCGAAATTTATTTTTAAGATGTTAATTTGAAACATTCTCTAAATCATTCATGTTTTACGCCTCATCTATTTTCTCCCTCTTTTTTTTCAATTTCATTGGTTAAATGATACACATCATCCGATTCAAACAATTCGCGCATTTAGATAAGTATTCTTTATTCATATCTCTGGTTACGAATTTTCAATGTATCATCGTATAATAATACGAATTTCCTTGTAATGGCTTTTTGTATATATTCCTAACGGTTACATTACAATAAGAAAGTATGTGATGTGTATTAAATATTAAATCTAGTGATAAGAGATATCTCATCTGTCAATAAAAGTTCATGTCAATGCAGGTGAAAATTTTGTGCTAGAACCATTCCCATTATCATTTTCAATTATTTGTTTCGGAATTTATGTAAAAGCATTTTTTAATATTTACAAAGAACAATTTTTATTCAATGGTAAAAGAATTATAATTGACACTGAAACCATAATTTCGATGAGTTTAATTCATGAAAAAAATTCACAATTCCATCTATTTCAACCTAGTATACAGATGATTTATTATACCGTAACCGAAAAAATTCAATAAAATATTTTTATTTTTGGTTATTTTAAGTTTAACAGTTTTCCTTTCCTTAATGTAGCCTTGGGAACATATGACGCGCAGATGGGCCTGCATGGGACTCTGATGACTCATTGACGTGTGTCAACCCTCGATATTTTTGTCTCTCTCCTTCCATTCCCTCGCGTCGGGAATAGATCGGTTTCGTGAGACAAATTGTCCAGCTGAAAAACAAGAGAACGTAAAATGGACGATGCAATGACATAAAAAGATCGTCGAGACGAGAGGTCGCGAGGTCGTAGCGTCGTTCAATGTCAAACTCGTGGCGCCGACTATGCGTCGAACGTGAATTCCCGGTCGTCATCGAGGGTGAGTCAGTCATCCCTTCGCATGACGGTCAAGGAGATAATCGGAAGAAACATGTAGAAAAGGGGAACGCGATTAATCAGTGCGATTGGGGAAGTAAGAGCCAAGCGTCGATTGGTCTCCGTCCAAGAGCGGTGGGGTCCCAGTCCAGGAACGATATGTGTATTTGAAAGACCCAGATGTAAATTTTATTATGAAAAAACTACGACGTGATTTATAATCAAGATATAGTTGTGTAACATATACATATTAATGTCACAGCTTCGCGGCACGAATGTTATGTTATCTTACCATATATAGATTAAAAAGTTAATTCCAAGTTAACTTTTCTATAAACACCATAAACAATCTGTTTGCTCCAATTTTTATATATAAATTGCGAATAATATGACAGAATTAAACCAAAAGATGTTTCTTTGGCGTTACGAAATCAGTCTATTCAATTATTTATCGTTGCTATTTGCAAATTGTTCAACTGACAGATTCATCATCGAACCCCTTCCTACGCCGATCCTGGCGAGGGGGGCCTGTCGCCCTGAGAGGGGAAACCAGAAGGTAGAGGGGGATGAACGACGGGCGCTGCTTGACGCTGTTACCTGGTGTTACGTGCCACAGAAGCACTAACCGGTCGGTCAGTATATCGTCTCGTTCCTGCCCTTGAACAACGCTCGCCTGCTGTTCGACGTGTCCCGCGCCAGCTTGCGCCCCAGAAACTCGCACGCGTCAACTGACAGGTCAGTGCACCCCTCGCCACGAGTTACACCGCCGTTTCCTCGCAGCGATGCACGTCCAATGGCGGATTAAAGACGAGCCATCAGGGCGAATCGGCTCAAAACTTATATAAATATCCTCCAAAAATATTCTTCAAAACGTTCTCTAAATTCCTTGTTCTTGAAGTTAGTCGCCCGGTTTTTCCTAAGCAACTAAGGATTTCATAAAGAAAGTGAAAACGAGTCTTCTTTCTTTCATTATCTTTTGTCCATTCTTTTACATGTTAATTGACAAAAATGGGAAAGAATTGACTCCAGACTGACACAAGAAGACGTGATATTTTGTGTATACGGCGTTTTTCTTTAAAGCGTAAGCCGGCGAAACATTTGGCGATCAATTCTTCACTTGCGAAAGACTCGCCTTTCGCCTGAGAATCTGGAAATGGAACTGAGTGATTTTCTCCGAGGATGATAATGGCCTGGAATCGAATTTCAATTCGATAAAGTGATTCGACAGCAACTACGAAATCGGTTTTGTCACGATTTTCCGGCATTACGATCCCGCTTGATAGCCTTAACGCATATTAACTTATCGCGATAACGATGTGTCCTTCACAGCTATGGAGCCTATAAAGATCGGTATAATTAACATAGAATTCATACCTGGACGTAAACACGTATATATCGAGTACCACGTTTGTTTGTGACGACAATGTATGATCGAAACGTGAACTCCATTTTGGGCCAGCCTGTAGAGAATTGAATTTGATTATCGCTGTTACGGTAAGAGTAATCCATGATGATAATGGATATATTATAGGATGGATTTTCCATAATTATAATGCACACAGTAAATTGCATACCCAAAATAATGTGTTTCCGCCGACCGAGCCTGCGGATATCGATCGGTCTTTCAACACGATCGAAAACGAATTCAGGGGTGTGGTCGGTATCTCAGTTTCGAGAAAATAAGGTTCTCTTGATTCCTTCGTTTCAATAATCAAACAGTAGAAACAAATCATATTCCTTATGAAATATGACAGGATTCGATGATACGATTTTACCGTTTTAATAATAGTTATTTCATTATGATTGCTATCATTATTAGTAAATATGCCCCTTATTGCAGATTTTCCTAAAATTAAAACAGAATAAAATATCTATCATTAAAACATTTGACGAATCAGAGCTCTTATCGCTCATCGATAAATTTTTTAATGTGCGTGTTATTGGTGATACTTTATATGCATTGTGTTACATCTAATTGCTAATAATCATGCATATGATCATGAATCATGAAAAGATCGACAGGATTAATGAACGAATGAATTAATGAGTTTGGATTAATCAGACTGTGACTGTATCACGTAAATAGCATTCGGAGCAATTTGAAATAGCATTAAATTTTTAAGTAAATTCTAAAGATACTTTCCATATATGTACATGTTTATAAAAATGCAAATGTTAAGTGTAAAATTAGACGTACCATTTACTAAAATTTATTTATCGATCTGTTTCATTTCTTTTGTTTAATTATTAACATTTTTATTTTGTTCTCTTTTTCTTTATCACGTTATTTTTACTATTATTTTATATTAGTTATATTTCTTTTACATTTCGTATTTCTGTCTATTCCTGTCTGGAAGATTTCTTCCAGAATACGATAATTCGACTTTCAATGTGTCTAATTAGACGTGAACTACTAATTAAATTTAATCGCTTTTTCGAAGCGAAGCAGATCGCTTCAATCGTGGAAAGCTCGTCGGGGAACTTCCTTGCTCTTCCGTTGTATAGGCGAATAGCGCGAGATAACAGGCTGGGGATAAGGGCGTGGTTTTGACAGATGCATACAATGCACGCGGAGTACGCATATGCGTTCTTCCTCTCCTCCTCGTCGATGCCGGCTTCATTATCTCATAGCAAACAGTGTCACACTCGTAATTAAGTATAATCCCCCTAAAATTGGTCATGTATTTTTGTATGCGTTGTGATATCTGATTAATCATTATTTGTCCTGAGGTGTTTTTTTATATAATTCCAAAAAAACTCACGGTTAGAGATGACAAATTTTCTCTTTATGTCACAGTGTCTTTTTGATCGAAGAATTTTCCTCGCGTTTCACATTTTCCGAGAGAGAATCGTCATTGGACGTGAAATTTGCATTTTGTCATGTCCCGAGAACGACCGTTTCAAGGCGAACGAGGGAGCTTCTGTATAAACGTGACTTCGTCGTCGTGAATCGCGCGCTTCCATGCCCGCAATCACGTTTATCCGGCTCAGTTCGTTCGTGATTAGCGTCTTTCAGATCGCAAGACCGTTTCTGTCTCACGAGCAGTGGCGTTACTAGGCGAGCATATACCCGCAGCGTTCTCTCGTATCACGCCACGTCAGCCGGACGATTATGGAATTCGGATAGCGACGGCCTTATTTCTCCTTCGATTCGCTTCATGTTCGTTTGTAATTAAATGAATAAAAAGCGGATATTGTAACATCAGAACCGTGAATGGAACATCGTTCGCTCCCCGGCTCCGCTTTGAAATTCAAATTCGTATTGAATGCGTCTCTCCAACTGGAACGCTAAAACATTTCGTTTGATTTAAAGTGAGTGAGTTTTTAGAGAGGAAAAGGAATAACGAGCGTAACGATACTTGCCACTGCGGCAATCATCCTTGATTACGAATGGCGCGAGAAAAGAGCGCGAATTTCTGTCCTCCATCGAGGGAAACCGCCCTCTTATCCGTGACCATGAAAACTTAGGACGGCGCGGAGTTCACGGACCCCGCTCACACTCTCTCCTCTGGGCAATGCCGGCAATGCCAATCGATGAAACCGTCTGCCGCGGCAGCCACCACCGCCTCCTCTGCCGCTGCCGCGGGAGAACCGGCCGCTCCCCTAGCGTACTTCGAAACCACCTCCCTCGTTGCACCTATGTACGCGCGCTCTATCCATTCATGCGACGGAAATAAAAGTCCATGAACATGTCAATATTAGCGCGCCACTGCACTATCAGAGAAAACGGAAGACTCACCTTCCAGCGATCATCGAATCAGATCTTAATCAGTGCTCATGGGAGTGTATCAGTTTGGATAGCGTTAATGTACCCAGACACAAGGAACGAAAATAGGAAATTGAATATAATCAAAAAAAAGTAAAAAATTTTTACTCAACCAATGAAAAAACACCTTGGTAATTCCTTGAGTATTGGAGCATTCCCAGATGTCGAAATTTAATTCTTTATTCCTAATTTTCTGTTTTTAATTTCTTGTTCCTTATTTCTTTATGAGTCTTTGCATTGCAAATGCATAGGAATTTTTCAAATTGCCCTTCCCTAACCTGATCAATTTCATGAAAAAAAATAGAAAACATTAAAGTACTATAAATTAATCAAACATTCTGCTATTAGAATCAGAAAACTTACGAAAAATCAGCGCAAGACTTTGAGATAATGTATGACTTGGGCTAATATATGACACGTATATCCTTCGTTCCCATTCAAGATTTTGAATTACCTTGAAAAATAACCTCCCGAGTACACATCAGCCAACAATCAACTGATCTATGAGATTTTAATTGACCCTGAACGCATAAACGCCGGCAACGAAACGTGCCGAGGAAGCTATGGCGCTAGTTAACGAGCTTAACGCGTCACTGCCTCCTTCCAAATTGCGATTTCGCGTACGATGCCATAACCGTTGCGGTCAAGGAAAGGATGAGAGACGAGTCGAGTGAAGTCGGCGGTAAGCGGGCATTTTTTTTGTGCATACCTTCAAGCGCCAAGGATGCCCCGCACTCGTCCAATGCGCGTTGTGTCTGATTTCATGCATCATGGCTATTGGCCGAGATATTAAAACTGATATTTCTATCAATATGGATTAATTTTAATCTCTATTAATCTATTTTTTAATCATCATTGAAACTAAAAAAAAAATAAGAAGTAAGTTAAAACATTAAGATTGATATACATCAGTAGAAATGGACATAAAGATTAAGTCATCTTTTTCTAACTTCAAGAATTCTCTTTTGAAGAGGTTAACGCTTCACGCGTAATCGATCTCATGCAACTTCACACTGTTGGATCGTTTCCGATATGATTCACATTTCTCGTTTTGACACAACCGAGAAATTTTCAAGTTTGTTCCGATCGAGAAATATTCTTCGTGGGAACTGAAGATTTCGTTAAAGAGTTTCAAATATGTGCCACATGCACAGGTCTCTCTAACAATCTTAATTGCCCCGACAAGAGTTTCAGTTCGAGAGAGAGAGAGAGAGAGAGAGAGAGATGAGAGATTCGTCGGAAATAGTCTCGCTCGTGCTGGAGTACTCGGATATCGGAAAGTTTGTGACTCGAATGAGATTTATATGCAGTCTCGGGCCTACGTACGTCCCTGGCATGTACGCGCCACCGCTCGATACGATACGCGCGTCCAGGGTTCGTTAGCCGTCACGGTCGCACGGAAGAGAGTTGGATAGAGAGAGAGAGAGAGAGAGAGAGAGAGAGAGAGAGAGAGAGAGAAAGAGCGAAAGAGAGGGGAGAGAAAGAAAGAGAATCGCGGTTGCTCGACGATCGCCGTTGCTTGGTAAAATGTTTCTCTAGCTACGAATACAAATGCAGTCGGTAATTTCACGTGGGCATTGTATGCACGTAGGTGTTTGCCGCTCGCCGAAACCCACACCGCCGGTCGATACTAGGCTCGTGCACGTGTGGACGCGTGGCGTGGCGAGAAAGGGACGAGGAAGGAGAGCTACTAGCAAAAGGTCCACCATTAAACGCGATTGCCCAAGTTAATTGGCAGCCGCGCGAACTCGTTAGCCAACAACCGTAGGATCTCGTTCCGCGGAACGACAATGCGTCGCCATGGTCATCGTCGTCGTAACGGAGCAGTCCTCCGGCCGAGTCCAGCAGCGCCCTGGATTTATGCAACTTTAGACGAATTTAGGCCCGGCTGGGGCCACCGCGTGTCTTAGACGCGCCTGGCATAGGCTATTTGTGCTATCGTTTCCCACGCCAGTCTTGTCTATGATACGGAAATACTTACTGGCTGTGATCCTTACACTTGTCATGACATATATATATAAACTGTGGCATGAATGAAGAGAAAGGCTTTCTCATTCCTCGATAATAATTCAAGAATAAATGAATCTATGATAATGTAATTAAACATTTCGGAATAATTCAATCGTTAAGTTGCACAAAAACATGAATAGTTCATTAGATACTGTAATTTCCTAATGTATTATATAATGTTTTTTATTATAAAATGTTTACAGGCTGCACATTAATGGAGAATATACGACCTAGAAATATTTTCCTCGTTTGAAAATGAAGTACTAGAAATTGCGCCTTAAGCATTCTTACGACATTCATATGAAATATCAGCCTGGATACCTAATCTATCTAACTTCATGACTCTGCCATCGGTTTCCATCGGCGCATCTCGACTGCACCGGCAACCCAGTTTCCTCGTTAACTTCTCGCAGAGGCTCGCTTTTCACCTCGCGAATGCACTCGAGAAGATCGAGTTGAGATTTATACAAGTTTCACCATGCAAACGTCGTCTCAACTCGTTGACTCATTAAATTCTGCCGTTTGCAGTTTGCATAATAACTAATAAGAAGCTCTATCTCTGTCCGGCCGTTTGCCACGGCTCGGCTAAGTTCATGCGGATGTTCAATTAAATGGAACTAACGGTCGTTACGTTATGGCATTTCTTGCCGGCTTTAAAGCGCTCGTAATTTTCTTGCCGTTCTTAAACGCGACGAGCGCAAGCGATCTTCGTAATCAAACTTAATTAGTAATATACGGCAAAGGTGAGGTATTTCATTAGGAATATTATTAAATCACATTATATCGAATCTATATCGATTTTTATTTATTACAGATTGTACTTCTTGTAGCGGCGCTAATCGTGAGAGAATCACTGGCCGCTTTATTTGATCGCGCTACGTTGTGGTCGTGCGGACAATCGAGATCTCGTCCTCGTCTCTTACCGTTACATGCAGCTAAGCACGCGGGTCTCATGCACGTACAGACGCCCGTGTGGGCGTACGAAAAGAGAGAGAAAAAAAAAAAAGAAAAGAATTCAGCAAGCGGATACGCGAAAGATGTGTGTACAAACTCCCGCTGCTTCTCTGTTGCGTATTTGGCCTCTTTTTCAAGCTCTCCTTATATACAAGCATATACGACCGGCTACCATATAAGGACCTATACACAGCCTTGTCGATGCTGACCCACCGTTTGAACGTATCTCTCGAAAGCCTCTCGCGATCTCAGGAACGTATCGTCCTGTGCCTGAAACTCGAACTCTACGACCGACTTGAGAGACTGGTTCATCTTTTTATTCGTATTTTCTGTACCTCTACATTCTCTATGTTCTGTTATTCTCTGTTATTGAGCTTGAGCTCGAGCTCACAATTCTGAAATGAGTACTAGTAGAGGTTCGAATGTCTTCTTTTAAATCTTTGATGGCTTTATTATTATGCGATATCGTTTATCTTTGCAGTATTTATTTTATAAAATTATATCACTTAGAAGCATTACCTAAAAACATCATATAAAAACGATTGAACGACATAAAATCGACCTTGTACCGTGAGATGTTGCACAATCGTCCCTGTGTACCTAGTATAATACGTAGTAATATCTGATGTTCTCGTGACTTCACCCACGTGGAATGCAGACTTTTTCTTACTCTCCGCGTCTCTTTTGAATCTGCGAATTTATTCGCATATGAACGAATTCGATGCTATCGTTATTTCTGACGAGTTCTCATATGACATTAATTATGTAACTTATATACATAATACAAAAATTATACACACACACACACACACATAATTTTTGTATATATATATTATTTTAGTTGAAGTAATAGAATTCGTTTTTTCTGTGAATGATTCAGTTAATATAACTTGTTATGAATTAATATAATTAACACATCGACAGAAATAATAATCTAATTTATTTTATAGGAATTGCAACATGCGTATAGAGAACAAAAAAAGAAAAAAAAGGTGAATTTCATCATAAAACGCAGAACGACGCGATTAGAAAAAAGGCATGTGGGAGTTAAATACCGAGCGATACCGATCGCCCACATAAGCACAATTACTATTGCGTTCTTTCCTTACATTTTTTCATGTTGAGTCATGTAAAGTTTTAAGTCTGCCTGAGTGCGCATAATCGCAAACGAGAAGCCGAGAAGCCTGTTTGGTGAAAGGGGGTGGGCAAAGGAGGCATCCGACGGATGAGTCATTGACAGTTTAGCGCATAAATGCGTCGTCAGTACTGGATTCAATACAAGATATATATGTAGATATAGAAGCGTGTATCCAGACGACGCCGCGACGTCGATTTCGTGCCACAACTATCAATTGCTAACGGAACAACGTTTGGCTCGTTTGTTTATCGGACGGTTTTCTTTCTTCCGAAAGCAAGTTTGCTGTTTTAAGTAAGCGTTATTAGAAACGTAACACGCTTATGAAAGATCCGATACATTTATAAGAATTGTCTCTTCTGAGAAAATTATTTTAATTAGCGGTGTGTATTGCAATGTGTCTTTACACGCAATTTACATGTATGCACAGCTGTAATTTAATTTTGTATTATCGCGAAGACATATAACATTCTTTAGAGGAAAGAGACGGCAAAAAAGCATAAAGTATTTATCAGAATTCCTCTTGCTCGTACAATGTCCGTCATTATCGTAAATAACGGATGATGGACGTGGATGAAATCAACTGTAGTGTAATATCTGGCACGCGGAGTGTGAAGTAAATGATTGTGAATATTCGACGCGTAAATACAAATATGCAAAAATTATCAAATTTTTTTATCGTCTATGTAACATGTAATGATTGTACTTCTGTCTGCAACTATAAGTTAACTATTTAATTTTCACTCTTATGTTGTACCTTTCGTGTTGTGGGGGAAGTGTGACAAGAAACGAAATATATTGGAAGGAAACGGAAACCGGAAGCAACGAGCCACCACTGTTTCCGTCGCGTGATACATAAATTCATCAGCCAAGAATTGCGTGAGTTTGCAGATAAATCAGATTTCTCATGCAATAATTTTCTACAACTTCTTTTTTTTTGTCTTCCCAATTTATAGCGACTAATTAGCAATTCTAATTAATTTTATTTTTACTTTTTGCAATTCTTCATTTTTAACTTAACAGAACTGAATGATTATTATTATTATAAACGAATGAAAGGACTCCGTGATGGGTAAAATTCTAGTTGAAAAACCTGAATTTAAAAAGAGGAAACTCTCAGAGATATTTCGAGTTTCTGCGATCAATTGCAGTTCAGTGGATACATTCACCAATAAAACTGTCGCATTTTCGTTGCATTTGCGGTGCATCGCGACGAGACGACGTGTGATTTTGACATCGTTGTTGATAGCTTCGTTCCCGACTTCGGCTTTGTTTAGCATTCAATAGCGGCCGCTGTTGTCAGCGCGCGGATTGTTCGCGTACTTTAACAAAGAAAACGACACGTTCGCGCTGACAATTGGAAACTGCGCAGTGTCGTCTCCCATATGATATACTCGTATTTATTGGGCGATGCTCTTTTATGCACTTTATGGTGGAAATCGTTCTCGTACTTAATAATACGTGCGATATCGTCAGAGCGTTCCGCTATCTTCCAGGAAGTTAAATCGATTACGTTACGAGCAGGTGCTCGCAGGTACACCTTGCACGGACACCTTTTATAAATTATAAATTATTACCTTTTAACATGTACAGAGATGGAAGTATGAGGTATTTCACGTTTTTATAAAATTAATGTACAAGAATCTTAAGCTTTTATTACAAATATGAATTTTTTATTCAAGTATTTCTGTTTGTTAAACATTGATTGACAAAAAAATAACGTTATTTTAGGAATTTGTTTTATTTTCTGTGCTTCGCGTTGTTGAAGAAAATAGACGATCATTATATATATTTGAGGTCTACCGTTGCAATTGACAACATACTTCAGATTATAATGTACAGTTATTTACACATTGACATTTGTTTGACGGTTTCATAATTTTAAATTCTTTTAAAGGATCTTCAAGTAATAAAATTATCGTATATTATATATTCGCCCGAATAAATGAATGAACGTCGGGATAATTTCATAGAGATTTGGTAATTTTTAAATTACAAACTTTGATTTTTCGAAAAGTATCTCTATAGATAAAAAATGATTTTATCTCTGTTTTACAGATTGAGAAGTACAAGGCTGAATCATGTCGAGTCCGTCGTTGAAGGACCTGCCCAAAGTAGCTTTAGATCTGAAAAGCGAATTGGAAGGTTTCAATCATGGTTGCATGAAAAAAGCTGCCACTGCTGAGAAGAATGTTTTACCTTCCGCCGAAGGTACGTAAGAATATAATTGATCTTTACTCGAAGGTATTACTCGAAGATATTAATTTACGTTGAATCCAATTATTACTCATATGTTTATTCATAACGTTTTTTTATTTAACATTTTCATAATACTTTTTGTATGAATACTTCTTGTATGAATATTTTTTATCAAATTGTATTTACATGATAAATTCTATTATATAATATTTCTGTGATAATTATTTTTTAAAAATTTATATTGTTACGCAAAATAAATCTTTAGGTTTTTGTATCAATATCTGCTAAATGCGGCCACATAAATTTTACTTTAACATGTTTTAAGAATTTATTTTATTCAAGTAAGATTAGATAGATACGTTTAGTGTTAAATGTGAAGTGTAAGGAAAAAATGGAATTTGCTCGCGCAAAATATTACACTAAGGGAAGCGATTTAAGCGCCAAGTTCCAATGTAGTGCTCCAGTAAAAAACAACTGCAACTGCAATAAAAATGTATGAATTGCTGACATAGACGTACGACAGGAGCGGCAGCATTCTGAGTTGATACATGGCGTGGAAACCTTTAAGACAGATCAGTTGAAGCACGCTGATACGAAAGAGAAGATTGTGTTGCCTAATGCCAAAGGTATTGCTCATTAAAAATCAAAGATTCTGGGATTGCATTCTCCAGGAGTTACTAGGAGTACCTCGTTGGCTTTTTCATGGTGGCAGCAAAAATCAACTATCGCTTCCGCTTCTTGGGAAACATTTTCTTGTAAAGCTTTATCTTAAAATGAATTTATCAAAAAAGGGAAATTTTACTGGTGGCTTTGACAGTATTCTGAAATTATATCACTTGTCTTTTTCATTAACTTCTTGCTACATAATCTTATAAGACAACATTTAGAACAGATTTTAAAAAGTAACTTTTATGCAATATTTATGCAAGTCTTTTAGATTTATCTCCTCTTATTTTTATATATGGATTTTTATATATGGATTTCTCAATATAATCTGAAATCGATACTTGTGTAGTGAAAAATCGAGTATAGTTATAAATTATTCAAAACACAAGATTTCTCACGATTTAAATTTTCAGTGTGAGTATTAAAGTAATGAAATCAAAATTAAATATTCTAGGACGTTCTATATATAACAGCATAGCAAGAAATTAATCTCATGTCTAAGAGGATAAAAGAAAAAAAAATCTCATTCAAAAATCGCTCATTAATTTTGTACTTGAAAATTATTGAAATCTTCAATTCCCATGATTTTAACTTGCGCTACATTTGTGCGTTTACGTGTAATTTTATCTCATGAAAATGCGTAGACTCTCTGGATGCATGAAGTATAAATAGCAAGTGCTTTTTAAAGGAAGGACGAACGGTACCAGTCACTTTGATTGATCGCGCTATTCGTCGATCACGCCACGATCATAAATCGCGCAAACGATTTTTGAATTTATTCCTTCACTAATTCGAGCTACGCCGCTAACTGGATACAGTAAATCTGTATCTGTATTCAGCTATATATATGAAACGCTGGATTCCCGTTTCCCGATTCTGTTCAAATATAGTTATTATTGTTACTGAAATCTGATTTATCTGCTTTTAGACGTCGCCGCGGAGAAGACCCAGCAAACATTGATTGCCGGCATCGAGAAGTTTGACACTGCAAGTCTGAAGCATACCGAGACCCAGGAGAAGAACCCGCTACCCGATAAAGATGGTACGATATACAAGTCAGATTTTTAAATTGGCTTGTCTATACAATAAATGCCTTCATAATTATAAACTAATGAAATTTTCTTATCCACGTAGCGATTCAGCAAGAAAAGGGAAAACAACAACTGATTTCCGGTATTGAGAATTTCGATCCAGCGAAGTTGAAGCATGCGGAAACCCTCGAGAAGAATCCTCTGCCCACCAAAGAAGGTTTATACTCGTTTCTCAGTTCTATCTATCCGAAATAGCACCGTGGTAATTGTTATTGTTATGTTTACCGTGGTAATTGTTATTTCAGCGATCGATGCCGAGAAGATAGCCGCTTAGAGAAGCTGCCGAACGATAAAAAGACGAAGGAAAGGAATGGGGACGGTGTGACTCGTCGCTTCTTCCATTTTCTATATCCGTGACATTTTATAACAATTATTCATACATTGCCAAGGAAACGAAAAGCGCGAATGTGAAGCACTGTGTTAGTTGTAATGCTATGATTATACTTATCCTATCGCCATTCTCGGATGTTCTCCTTCTGGCGAGATTAAAAGACTATCCAAAATATCCAACGTTAAATCAAGTGGCCGATGGCGATACCGCTGCTGCCTGTCCTATCGGTATATGTCTCAATAGAGACAATTCGACAACAATTAGGCAATGACGAGAATGAGAGCAGATCTAAATGGCAGTAAGCCCTTATCTCGCTGCAAGTTTCTTATAACTTGCCTCCTCGCTACATCTATTTGTTTTGTTCCTATTATTACATCTTCCAAGCAGTGTTTGAGATAGTTGCTTAAAAAGAGAGAGAGAGAGACTTGTAGAAAAAAAATTAGTAAATGTAGCGAGTCAGAAAATTATTTTGCGAGACGAGGAAGACAAAGGTTTAACCCGATAAATCGCGGAATACCGTATGGAATCGTCATCTCGCCGAAGGATGTAGTTTTTTTTACACCGAGAGAGCTGCATGCGCGAGTATATTCGTTATTTTCGATATAGCAGGCAAAATTGTCGGTGGTATTGCATGATGCGTTTATAGCAGACATTGCGGAAGTACACAAACACACAATGATCGATCTTATATTTATGTATTGTAAAAATCATATTTTGTATAAACGGGCTATTGTACTTTTTTAATATTTCGTACACATCGCATTGTCATTTCGACGAAATTATTATGAGGAATAAAAAAAAGTAATTTGTACAAAAGCGGCGTTCGCTTCTTCCTTGGTCCTAATTAAATATCATTAACTTAAAATTAATTTTCTTTTTTTTCCACATATACGAACAATGACAATTAAATTGAGAATTTATAATCTATACAACTGTCTAACTAATCATATATTTACTTCTATTTTATTATATATAAGAAATATTTTAAACAACCATTTATTGCTAGATATAAAATATGAATTATTAGGATTATAACAATTCTTTTTGCAATGGCATATGTGAAAATTTATTATAAATTTTTCAAGTTTTTAGTGAATTATAGATGATTATAAGTTTTCAAAATAATCAAAACATCAATTAAACATTCGTTAGTTATTTACAAAAGACTCGCAAAAGAATAGATAATTTTTTTTATTTCTTTGAAATCTATTTTTACATCGTCTTATAAACAAAGGAATAATATTTATATTAATGTAACTAAGTGATCGTAAAACTAGATTTAATCTAATTGAAATTTGGCGCTTATCACCGGCTTAGCCAAAAGCGGAAGTCAATCAGAAAAAAGACTTTGGAATTGTGTGATTGGCTCGCAACATCGACCAATCGTGTCACAACATACACGTGACTTTCGATTTCTTATCACAGTAAGGCCTTTGCCGTCTCGATCTTGATTTTGACCTGATTTGTTGATGTCATCAGAGATTCCCTCCACGAAGCAAACGAGCGCATTGGCACTCAAATTCTTCACGTCGTTGTGCATTACGAGAACGTGAGAATTTCGCATCAATAGTGAGTAAAACTAATCCTCCTTATCGGTTTCTTCGCGAACATCACACGTGATTCACCTTGATCACCTGAGGAGCGAATTCGCGTAGATCCTTAGTAGAGCTTTATGGTTGATGGCAGAGAACGAGGGCTTACAAAGTTAGCGTTCACGACTCGGTCTCTGTCGTCACCTAAGTCAATCCGATTGATGTCATTAGAGGGAGCGATGCCTGCGCAACAAGTAGCGAATTGAAGAACCTGTGACGAAGCTAGGCGGGGGAGGGAGAAAAAAGGGGAAGGCACAAAGGGCAGATATGGATACGCATACGCTGCGTTTGAAAAGTTCGATGGTCGTTGTTTTGTGAGATCTGTGGTGCTTTTCTACGGATGTAAACGAGAGTAAGGTGAACATCCTCTCTTCCTTTTTCCCCTCCGTTAGTTTCCCATACGAAATTATTTGTTTTAGATATCGCAAAGATCAATCTTTCCTCTCCTTAAAACGAATTCTTCGCGCGAGATCGTAGTTGAAGTCGGTTTCTCTTTTTCTTTCCTCTCTACTTTCGCGACTATAGATTTCGTTTTTCGAGGCCGTCGACCTTGGATCTCGCAAAGGATATCAAAGGTCAAAAGAAATCGATCAGTAGATCGTTTCTTGGATTATCGCTTGGATTATCCTAATCGCAAATTCCATGTTGTCTTCTAAGAAGACTATATTTCTTTGTTCTATCGTGAGACGATCGTACGTCGCGACTTCCACGGGATTTCTCCGACGAATCTAGAATTAATTTTCACATATCCTGCGCGTCTGATTATGCATTCTAAATTTTTTTCTAAAAAACCTTAGTCTTTGTTTTTTTTTTTTCTTTTTTGTAACTTATATAGGACAGTTTTATCATGAGATCTATTTCTCTATATTTTTTTCTAGAAAATACGAATAACTATTTAAATCCGGATATAGTATAATAGGGTACATTGAAGAAAAAATAGAGGATATATATTTAATATTATAAAAGATATATACACACATACACAAGATACAACGTAAAGATAATTGTGTGGGAAAATTGAGCGATTTTGTGTTAGCTAGATGCATGCTAACACTTTAGGTGATATATCAAAATATATGGTGATGTCGACCAGAGGGATGTCGAAACGAGCGCAAGAGCCAGTAGATCAGTGGCTGACAAAAGAGGGTTACTTCAGGAAACCTACTCCTAAAGATCCAACCTGCTTGTTCAGAGCAATCAGCGAACAAGTGTATCATACGCAGCATTATCATCTCCGAGTAAGAAAAGAGTGTACGGAATTTATGAAGAAAAAGAGGCATCTGTTCACGGATGTAGGTATCTGTACGATTTTATTTTTACGTTAAAAGATTTGGTGTTCATTTTCTTTCTCTCCTTTCTTTGTAGTCCATATCGACGTCATTCGATTATTACCTTAAAGAAATGCAATGCTTTACGGAATGGGGAGGCTTGAACGAGATACGTGCCATGTCTCTGCTCTATAAAAGAGACGTAATCATATTCATTGGAGAGAAACAGATATGCGAAAATGTTACCAATAACGGCTTTAAAAAAGGTGTTATGTTGCTTTGTCACACGGAACCGAAGCAATATGAACCTGTTTATCCAATGGCTTTTGTTCAATCCGCTGCATACTGCCAGTGTACGTAAATATTCTCTATCATTGCATGTCACATCTATAAACCTTCAAAATTCTGTGTAATATTTTCTTTTTTCTTTTCTATAGCTATTGTTTATGAAGTTGTTTATAGATATATGTACCAAATGCCTGATATAAAAACTGTTGCGGATAGAATGTTACATAGCCGAAACACTGCACTTAGACACGACAAATTTTTCCAAAAGGGGAATCTTGATATTAGGGAGTAAGTAATTTATGATTATAGGGCTACATGCTGCGCTCGAGATCGCGATTAAATTTTTAAATGTTAAAAAATTAAATTGTTTTTATAAAATAAGCTATTTTTCTATAGGCAATTAATTGAAGATTTATATAAAAAAAGTGAAAAATGAACATAATGACATGGATGAAGTGCAATCTGATTGGAAGGGAACACCACCAATTCCTTATAAAGTTGCTAAGGCACTGGCTCCAGATTATTATCGCAATATAGAGTTAGACATATGGCACGAATTGAAACGAGGTATCTATTATAAATATTTAATCTTTACTTTTTTTTTTAAAGACATTTACAAGAATAGGATATGTAAAAATAACATTATTTATGTATGCAGAAGTGAAATCTGCAGGCTGGAATAGGTATAACAGTAATGAGCTTCAAGTCGGCGGCAAATGTTTGATAGAGATTAGCATAAATGATTTAGAACAATGTGATAGAAATAACAACAAGAATGTTCATATTAATTCATCAGATTGCAATACTAGCGAAACTAATAAAGTTGAGCAACAAAAATTGAAACAGGGGCCTCTTTGGCTTCAGGGTTATATACAGGAAATGAATACTGATAAGGAGCCAGTTCTTGTTTTTATTAAAGATCTAGGAGAAAAAAAATTTGTTCCATATGATGCTCTGAAACCGCTACCTCTAGTAAGAAAAAATAAACAAAAGAATTGGACACCAATCAATAGAAATCATTCGGTTACTTCAGATTCAAGTTGGTTCAAGTTAAATTATTTACTTATTTTTGTTATCATTTGTTTATATCACAATATAATGGATACTTATTTTGCAACAGATCGACGATGGAAAAAATCATACAATTCTTTTTCGCGGAAGAGAAAAGATACTATGAATATAACAAATGAAACAGCAAATAAAAATATATTAATTGATAATGATGATGATTGTAATGACGATATTGATAGTGATAATATCAATAATATTAATAAAACAGTCTTTGAAAAAACTAATGAACATCATAGTGAACTTTCGTACGTATTTTTATCGGAATATATTAATTTATGTCTAATTTTTTGCTTTACAATAAAAATTGAGTTCTTTTACAAACATTTTTTGTTTATTTACAGTAAAATAGATCAAAGTCAGACATTAGAAAATCATTCCGTAGAAGGTTCTTCTAATCGTGCGACAAATGTAAGTAAAATTTTGACAATTTGAAATACTTATATATTGTAAACAAAACCTCCTTATTTTTTTTCTTTTTTTTATTATGTAGGAGGAGGCTAACAAATTATCCAAGACAACTGCGTTTGACAATTTACAATCTGTAAGTAAAGTAACGCAAGATGTAATAGAAGAGCGTAAAAAACCTAATACGGTATTCAGACGTGTGAACGGTATTGCAAAGAACAAAATTGAAAAAACCAACAATCATGATCTTCAGAATTCAAGTTCAAAATCAAAAATGTTGAATGAGAATTATTATTCACCTTGCAACGGTAATTATTTTTAAACGAATAGCATCTCATACACTAATAAAATGCTAATAAATTTTTTCGAGTGTACAGGTAACTTACAAATGAATGTGTGCAGTAACCCAAATGTGCCTTACATCGCACCCGATAATAATAATACATGCCCCTATTATCCATATGTACCAGGAAATTTTTCGATGACAGGGGAACATAATCTCAATCAAATGGATCGTATGTATATCATAATTCGTTTATATAATATATATAACGCAATAATTTTATATATATGTACACACACACACACACACACACACAGAGTACAATATTGATATTGTATTGTTAAAAAAAATTATAAATTTTAATGTGTATGCGTACATAATATGATTATACATTCGCAACAATCATGTTTGTTTTTATAACAATCATATTTGTTTTTAAATGTTTTTTTCATCTTTTACATTTTTAGATTCATTTGCATCGAATGTCTTTTATAATCTACATCTACAAATGCAGGTATGTGTATGAAAAAGTAATTGTAATTATAATTATAATTATAATGTGTTTGGTTAAATCGATATAATTCTTGTGGGGATAGGATACTTTCCGTACTGTAAACCCAAATTGTTATGGATCTATAACATATGGACCAAGTCAAGGCATGCAATCTTTAGGCACAACATCGAATGCTCGTATGAATAATAATTTAGCAATAAAAATTTATGTAAAAGATCTACGTTGAAACTTATTCCACATAATTCGTTAACAGATGTTCCATATATGCAAGAGGAAGCAGACCGGCTTGTTAATGACATGCAAAATTGTTCGTTAACATGCAATGAGGCAGCAGGTATCAGTGCAGAGATTTCCAATGTTCCATATTCTAACATGAATGGTGTACAAAAACCACCAAAACAAGGATCGAAAAATTCGAGTGAAAAGAATTCCTCATATTATATTCAACAAAAAGGCAAGCAGATTGGAACTGTAAAGGGTAATATTTATTATTTCATTTTTAGAGACTAAATTTAGAGTTTAAAAAGAGAATTCTTAGATAATATTAAAAAAATACTCATCTAATATCTTTTAAAACAAATAATCATAAGATTAGAAAAAAAATACGAGAATAGTGCATTGTATCTGCATTGTTCAATTGTCAGTTGAAATTGAAATGTAAGTCAATTTTAAAAAGGACAAATAAGGAGGCGTAAATTCAAAACAAGAGATAGCAGAGAAAAGAAAACTACAAACATAATTATATGTTAATTAATAATTAAGTATATTAATTTATGTAATTAATAATTACATAAATTAAGCAATAAATACTTAGATAATTGAAGTATAAGTCATGATTAGAGTTTACTAGAAATAGGTCAATATCGCGATATATCTCGAATAAGGAACAAGGTGATATAAAAGAGACATTGATACATGTACACAAATATGAACAACATATCTTTCACTGCAAAAAATAGCAACCGTCAAGTCTCGATGATAAACATATTTATATTTTGACATTAGCGTAACGTTCAATGATGACTATGTTTTGTGATGTAAGATATATCGCACGTTATAAGTTTCTTTCCATCTTGTTCTTTGTTGCGAGCTTGAATACATATTTAACCAATTTTTAGTGAGTACTAATTTTCTTTATTTTTAAATTTGAATGTTTCTTGTTTTAATTTTAATTATTTGTGTTTGCTCGTTATTTTATTTTTTACACACGTGTATTAAACCGTTACGAATAAAAATGGGACTGAAAGAAAAATTAAAAACAGAAAAGATAGCTCAGATAATTATATAATTAACCTTACTAATTAACATCTTTCCAAAGATTCATTCAATTCGTTCACTCAAGTTCTAGAAAAATCTGTGAAATTTGCAAGAAAATAACATGTTTAAAAATTTCACATTCTCTTTCTCGCAGGTAACAAGATGCGAAATCGTCAGCACAACACTCGCGGATCGGCATTTATGCAATATCCAGATCATCAGTACGGCGCGACAACGCCGAACGGTTCCGTGAATCCGTACGACGCGCGAAGACACGACATGCATATGCTGCAGTCGCAACAGCATCAATGGGATTCGATGTCGCATCAAGTGGCGCCCGTGATAGCCGGCCCAGCGAACGTTTATGCATCACCACAATATACAACGTCGAATGTATTCTCGTATCACGAGCTTCCACCACCCTACACGAACGAAAACTTGGGAAATTCCCCGTACTATTTGGGGAACGGTAATTACATACCCGTGCCGTACTTGTCGCCTCAGCACATCGACGTGGCCGAGAATGCGGCGGGTATATCTCCACCGTATCCGCAACATTTCTATTCGACGACCGAGACTTACCCAGGTCACTCGTCAACGACCGGTCAATCGATGATGTACTCACAGCCGATGATGTATCCGCAGCCGATGCAATATCACGCTGTACCGCCGCCATCGCCTCACGTGCAAGAACAGTGGAATCCGACGTTGAGGCCGCAATCTTATGTTCCTCAATGTTTAGCCCCGACTCCAAGTCCGGCTCCAATGGTAGAGCCGTCGTCTAACGGGCAAAGTACTATTCCGAAGAATCCATTTTAAATCGAATACATTTTGAAGACTGAGATTAATTACGAAGTCAAATCTATGCATTAACAAAAGTAGTATTAGTAGTCAGTGATATTCCATTTGTTGAAAGTGAGACTTTGAAGACTGACAGTGGATGCCTCCTATTTAGTGACACAAGTCAGCATAAACATCGTTCTATCTTGGCAATTCAATAGTAATAATGAATAATAAGAATAATAAGGATAAAACGATACTAGTGTCACTAAATGGAAAACACCCGATAACTATAAGATGAAGTTTATCGCGGTAAGAATTAGAAGGATAATGACAAATTAAAAATAACTAGAGATACGAAAAGTAAGAGTAATTATGGAATAAAATATACAGAAATTAGCTACTTACGAATCTTGTTAGAGGGTTTGCTGTGACTTTCACATTTTTCTGTATTGTATAAAGCTCCCTGTTATACAAAATATATTTAAGGTGCAACTTGTTGCATCTTTGTGGGCTGTGTACGTAAGCGAATTTAACATATACTATAGATAGATCAACGTATAAGACTAGTCTTACGATGCGGCTAATCTATCATATCAGTGTTTAAAAAATTTAAATTGAAACGCTTGACTTTTATAGACCTAATTTAAAAAAAAGAACTTGCGAACTTGCCTTCGCCTAGAGTTTCAGTATTGTCCTTAACGGATAATATGATTAATGACAATTTCTTCTAAAGAGAAAAAAAATTCGCATAACAACACATGTGATAGCGAATTCTTAAAAAAACAATAAGATTCCTGTTCTGCCTGTTCCCCCTGTTGTGGAGAAATATTTCATGTTTCGTTAATGACACTTATCGGGATTTTAAATTATTAAAAACATCATTATTATTAATTATTGTCATTCATCATATTTCTTAATAAAAAAAGATACCGATGCTTATCGTAAATGAAATTAATAACATTATTGGAACGAAATAAGTATCCCTATTGGGGTTATATCAACAGGCTCTACTAATTGTTATCGCGTCTTAACAATTATATTAAACTTCAATTATTTCCAAACTTAATCATTAAAAAAAAAATCTGGATTTAATATATAACATTAAAAAATCAATATAGTATTAGTTAAGATCTTGTAATCCATTAATAATATATATATATATTAAGTTTACTAAAGTTTCTTAACAATTTATACAATTTTTACTTAAGATTAACCTTTATATACAACTTTTGCTAAACCTTTTGCAAATAAATGCAGAAAAATCAATCAGTTCTTTTTATTTGTTGCATCCCTAGAAAGATTTCTGTTTATGTGACATCGGTCATTCCAACTTTGTAAAGCTTTTCGTGAAGACAATTAGATTCTTGATTTTGATTTTTTTTTATATTTTCAATAAAAGATGCTTAATTCGAGAGGTGTATAATCAGATTTTTAAATTATAATGAACGAACTCAAAGAAAATTCACGTGCCTTATAATTGACTGACGAGTAAACTAATGTGACATACATAAACGCGACACATTGGTATCATTAAATTTCTTAGATTTCCAGAGGATTACGCGATCCTCGGAACATTTGAATGTTATGCGATTTGTATAAAAGAAGTCAAATTGTCGAAATTTTATTAAAGCGATTTTAACAGGAACAATTTGTTTACTGCTTACATAATCCGCGAATAAATAAATAAAATCTGTGTATCATAAGCTCTTAAGTCACGTATTATAAGATATTTTAAAAAACTTTAAACTAATATCTATGGGAACAGCTAATAGCGTAAATATTTGACAGTCAGTTTTTATCTTTATTACCGGATTTGCAACAATACGATAATAATCACACGTTCTTATTTAAAACTTGGAAAATCGCAACATATTTCTATTAATACAAATGGTATTCACGACTTCGATTTGTACAGTTCTTTTATAACGTCGTGCAACTATGCAACTCTAAATATAGTAATAATGAGACACTTGGAGCTATTATGAGATTATAATAGAAGTTTGATTGATATATATTTAATAAAATGTATATGACTTTAAATGACTTTATACATGCTATGAAATATATTTCAAATTTGTAAAAATATCTATATATGTATAATCATTATAAATTTTTCATCTTGAAATATTCTAAAAAAACATCCTGATGAGATAAAAAAACCAAAGGAGTATCATTAAAATAGAAAAATTTCTGTCGTCAACCAGCGAAAGTTTGGTATGGATACATGATTTAACAATTGATCGTCAACGAAATTGAACTCTCTTATATATGCGTATATATTTTATAGAAATTCTAATATCGAACCGTACATTATCCTTCTTCATATAGAAGATACATGCGAAAAAGAAAATTACTTCTACGATACATCTTAAAAACGACAAAATTACGTAAATTCTCTATTACAGGATTTTGGATTTTGATTTTTCAATCATCAGAATTCTATGCTCTATATCATACAATGTGCTAACACTAGAGGCACTCTAAAAACTGAGATTTCATAAGGTAATCAAGAAAAGGTCCAGTGTGATACACGAAGCTTAATGTTAAATTATTTACACGTATATTACACTTGATCTTCACTATTTACAATCGAAAATCTCAGATGGACATACTTGTGAACATCATCGATGTAATAAAAGAGAAAATAAAATGGAATGATAAAATCTACGTTCATCTAACGTAGTTTCGATAAACATTCTTCGGAAGTGTAACTTACAAAGAAATATTTATATTCTCGTGTTGCTATATACTTGGTGTAAAGGCGAATCTATTTGGCATCAGAGGCCATAAAATCTTTCAGTTTCATAGTAAGACGTACTGTTAATTTTCATTGCAAAATCTCCGCATTCAGGCTAACTGCCCACATTCCTACGAGAATCTCTTTCTTTATTGCACACGTTTACATAATAAAACATAGTGTATGTTAGACTCACGTACTATTGGTGTCTCATTAATCGTGTGCGATTTTCTAGATATAAGTGCATCATATAATCTATCTGTACATTCGCAACATAGTTCAGATACACAATAATATTAACATATTTAATATTGGACTAATAAAAATAGGGATGCACTGAAAGATTCTAGCAACAAGAAGTCATGATGACTTTAAGCGAATAAGATGACCAAGAAATTTCCAATTGACAACTGTTTTTCTGCGATAATTCATACAATATATATATATATATATATATATATATATATATATATATTCTGTGTATGTATGTATATATATTATCTGCTGAAAATGTTAGTTTGTTTGTCAACAAAAATAACGATAAGATCAATTAAAAATTATTAGTAGATACTTGTGCGAGGGAGGAAAACATAATAGATAACGCCGCAACGCGTTTCTCAGAAATTTTATTTCCGCTTAATCCATGAAAAAGAGAAATCATTTCACCATAGTTCTCATATATTCCACTTCATTCAGTCACTATTTATATACGATAAAGGTATTATAGTAATTTGCTATGTACGAATTAATCTTTAGCTACTTCCATATCAGATCTGAATCATAGGCGTTATACTATAGGACCCGGATGTCAGCTCTGATTTGAAAACAACTTCTCTCTATATAAGTCCATATTAAATATATTTTACAATAATATTATCATTGTACATGAACAACGTATGCTCTACACCTCGCGTTGCTTATCGCTAACTAACCAGCGCAGGACAAGATTTTTATATTATAAACAAAATAAAATTTAAACATATATAAATATAATATACATGCTATACATAAAACATCATAAAAGAATATTTATTAACTGACTAAACAAAAATTGGTTGAAATTGACTTTAAATATGAAAAAAAAAGAATAGCAATAACGTGGAAGAGAATAGCGTATGTGATAATTTCAAAGATTGAAAAATAAGTTAAACATCAAGTTTTAAGAATTAGTTATATCGACAATCTGAATTAACGCTAGATTAACGATTTATGCCTATATCTCTTCCTAGATTATTATAATAATCTTCCTAGAATTATGAATTTTTTCTAAGAAGATTACAATATAGCGTATAACATAGATAGATAGAGAGAAATAAGATAGAGAGAGAGAGAGAGAGAAAGAGAGAGAAGGGGAAAATAAGTTAATCCTTTAACGCTAATTCGTACCAGTTCGACAAATTCTATGTTTTTGTCTTTTTTCGAAAAACAACGATCTAGAAATGTCAAAATAAAACAGAAATTTTAATGCGCTGGTTGAAGCAACGATCGACAAGAAGGTGTTAATTAGTTAAAATAGACGAGGGGGACTGGATTTGTGTGACCCCAATATGTGCGCCGCCTTGGTACCTCCTATAGTAAAACAAATTTTACGTTAATACATCACACACAAATCGCAAATTATATGCTAGACATATTAAAATAAACAACTTGGTGATTTCGAGAATTGAACGTACATTATAGAAGAGATACTTACATAAAAGTAATGGTAAAACAGGCGAAGGGAGGTTATTCCTTATTTTCCTCGGTAGTTACAGTGTTGGAGGTATTTTGAGACTCCGATAAGGATAAAGGTGGCGCTTCTGCTGCTGTGTCCGTCGCATCTTGACTCGAATCCGAGCTGTCCTTCACTTCCTCCTGTTTCTTTTCTTCGCTGAGAACAGTATTTTTAGCCTCGTCCACCACGTTCTCTGACACTTCCGTTACCTTCTCATCCTTGGAATTGGCCTCAGACACTTTCTCAGTGTCTTTACTGTCTTTACTATCTTTACTGTCCGTGCCCTCCGCATTTTTGTCTTCATTCTGTATCGCCTTGCTCTCTTTTTCCTCTTTCTCTTCCTTTTCCTCATCTATTTCCATTTTTGTGGATTCTTCTTCCGTGTGCTTTTCGCTTTTGTTATTGGACGTTTCCTCGTCCGTGTTATTCTCATTATTTTTCTCCTGCCTCTTGGGACGTCCGCGTCCACGACCACCACCACCCCGCGTCGACGTTTCCCTTTTTTCCTTCTTAGATGGTGATGGCACTGGTGTTGTCGAAGTTAGGCCTCTGGCTGAACTGCGGGTGCGTCTCCTTCCTTCTACTTCACCGACGGATTTGTTCATGCCCTGTAATATTTAATATTTTAAAACAAACAATCGAGAGCGAAAAAAAAATATATATATATATATCAAATTATATGAAAGTTTCTCTGAAAAAACAAGATGTTACAAGTTACGAATCAAGAAAAATATTTTAATCTCAATTTGCATTAGCTCAAATTACGATTAATTTCAATTAATGTTTGTTGATCGTCGTAGCATGAGTATGTAACAATTCGTAATTGGCGCCTACGCAACAATTGATTCCTCGTGCCCCGCTGCGAGGGCGCTTATTTCCCTTCTCGCTGTCCCCTCTCCGGCCAAATCAACGCCTCCCACTCCTGGCACTGTATACGCTCACGTAGGCAGGCGAAGTCGACGACGGAGAGGCTAAAACGGAGGGAAATAACCGAGAACGGGGGAGGGGGAGACGAGGACCTTGACCGACGGGACCTCAATGAAGATTTTTGGAACGTACGATAAGCCGACTCGATAAGATGCGAAAAAAGTTTTTCCTACTTCAGATAGACGCGCGACCCGCCGTAAGACGCACCTTTAAGAATCCCTCGCTCTCTTGAGCGGCCCTTTCAAGAGTAGAGAGTCTCTTGGTGCCACTACGTTTGTTTTTCGTCGGAGTCGGTTTCTCCTCCGTCGACTGTTCCTGTAAAAAAATCAAGAGAACTTCCTATTCATTCGTACACGAGTACGTGTTTATGTCACGCGTATATGTACACGCATATACACATATATGCATATTACGCGCGTACACATATAATGCGTGTACACATGCACGTATCTATATATACCGCGGAAGACGTACGTCTATTGCGCAGTCGCACGCTCGTCGATGTCTCGAGATTATTCGAGAGTTGGGAGCCACGCAAAGGAGCGAGCGATTGACAACGGGCGCACGGCACTACACGCGACATGACACGATAATTACGACGCTCGAGCGTCGCAAGATAAGGTTATCGAGGACCGTTGAACCGTGGTCATCGGCCGAGGGGCTCAACATCGCGTTCAAGTTTCCCGCCATTTTGCGGTGCGCCCGTACCATCTCCAACGTCTACGCATCGCGCGCGGCTCCCGCCCGGTCGTTGACGACGACGGCGCTGACGATGACGTCTCGTGGATGTGGACGTGGACGCATCGTCGCCGTCGTCGTCGGCGTCGGCGTCGGCGTCGACAACGGTCGCCGCGACCACGTTCCTGGCGCGACGCCGCGAAGCTACGGTGATTTCCCGCCTTTTCGCGCGGTCCCGACTTGCATGGTGTGCGAGCGAGACAGACATAGAAGAGTAGGGCACGATCCTCCCCCGATGGCGAGAACTCGCGTGATAAAAAAACCTCCACCATCTTTGGCGACGAGGACGGGAGAGGACGTGCGTATACACATACAGCGCAGCTACGAAAAATCTCGCCGGATGGAAGGAAAAACAGGCGAACGGAACGCCTGACAGACGGATGGATGGATGGACGGACGGACAGATGGACGAACGGACGGTCGGTCGGTCGGTCGGACGGACGGACGGGCGGGTGGGCGGCCGGTCGGTCGGTCGGTCGGTCGGTCACGGCGCGGAAGCGCGCGGCGCCGTTGTCCGACGCGCGGGGTACCACATGGCGCGGCCGCGTCGTAACGACGCGCCGCAGCGTACGCGCGTACACAGCCGCTCGGCCGTCGTCCCGTGCTCCGGGAGTACGCGCGAAAGGAACGCACGAGCGTCGTCGCAGCCGCGGTGTACGCGGGCGGGGGGCTCCACCGCCACTCACACACGCCGCTCACGGCATGAAAACTCGGCTTGACGAAGGTGTTTCTGACGTGCCCGCCGGCCCGCTTACCTTGGACGTATCCTCGACGTTGTTGTCGCTCTTGGTCTCCGTCTTAGCGTCTGACATCTCTTCGCGTGCGAATCACTCAAAAACACTGGGAAATCCACGATTCTACGGCGAGAATTCGCGCTGCGCCCGGTCGCACTGTTTATACGATAAGGAAAGATGGCGGTTAGCGTGGGTCACGTGACACCTCGTCAAACCTCAGAGCGGGAGTTCGGCGCGCCGCTCGGCGCCGCTGTGATAAACTACGCGCGTAGCGACGCACACGCGATCTCAAGATTCGCGTCGCCAGGATTCCACATTGCATTTCGTCAATATTTTTTTTTATTATTATTGCGAAGAATGAGTTCACATTTACGTAGACGATAATGCAATTCTATGTCTTCTGACGCTATGCACAATAAAATAATATCGCATTCGATATAGTTCCCTACATATTCTTTTCTTTTTAATTTTACATTCATACCTGCTGATGTTGTAAGTGCAACGTTCTACAATAATTAAAATGCAATATGGAATATTCCCGCACAATTTAAAATCATTATAATTTCAATAGAAGATCATCTCGTAATAATTTTAAAAATCATTTTTATTTCGTATAGTTAAGTCGAATCGCAATTAATCGCGTTTCTTTCGCATTCATTTATTTTACCTACCTGATATTCAAAATCGTTTTATGTTGTATATTCGTGTGTCGATCAGTCAGTTGATAGCTTATAGAATTACATAATTACCATCTTTTTTTTAAACATATATGCTACTTTGAAATAAAATAGAATTCTTTTTATACTTATTCATATGTTATGAAATATGTATGACTATTCAAATTACTCTAGAATCATATACATTATACATTTATAGTTTAACACAAATAAAATAAAATATGTAGAGTTTATCACTTAGAAACTAATTAAAATAAAAAGTCTTATAAATACATAATACCTATTTTTTGTTTCTTTTTTGTCGTTATTGTACCAATGTAATTGGTACAATTGGTACGATTTTAAACGTCTTTCAACCTCCACATATTCTATTTTGTAAAAACTGTTAATGCGTTGGCATTCGTCGGAACCAGAATCTTGCTCTGAAATCGTCACTGCATGTTAAAAACGCAGGTGCTGTTGGCGAATGCACAATCATTCTCACAGGACCATTGTGACCCAAAGACAATAATTGTTTTCTCGAAGCATTCGTGAATTCCATGCACACAAGGAAGTAGTGGCTTCGTCCGGAAACATTACATAGTCCTCAGTATGATTAAAGATAGCTTGTGCCTTGTGTTCCTGTTTACCTGCAAAAGATGATATGGTCAATCATATATTCGCGATTATATCGTCATAATATCGATGAGGCATACCATAACACCAAGCATATTCCAAGTTCTAAACACATTTATAGTCTTTTACCTGTAGTTCCGGCACCTGTATATGCTATTAGACATCTGCTAGTAGACAATTCCCATAACTTTATCAAGGAATCTTTTCCTGAGGATAGTAAATACTGGAATCCAAAATTACATGATTATTCAACACTACTTGGACATAAATCAGTAAATTTCCACAGTTTATATAAATTGTGCGTGCAAAGTTACCGCCAGAATTACTACCTTGCCATTCCTTGTGAAGATCACCGAACATACTTCATAACCGTCGTGCGCCTTTGCAAAAGTATTTATACATCGATTTGACACGCCATCCCACAGTTTTATACTACCATCTTTTCCTGCCGATGCATATGTCTTTGCATCTGGTGAATATTTGATACTTGTTATCCCAGCTGTGTGTTGGTGACTTGGTATGCTGCACACAAAGCATTGTGCGGTATTCACGTCGTACAGTCTAACTACCGGATGATTGGTCCCAACTATGAGAAAATCTCCAGTTGGATGGAAGGATAGACATCGAATCTGGTCTGCATCCGTAATAGTTCTAAATGCTTTCTTAACGCTGGCTTTACTAAAATCGAATAATTTTACAGAGAAATCACGACTACCAGACACAAGTATGGGTTCTCTAGGGTGAAATTCCAGACATGTTACTTCCTCCAAGTGATCGTATAGAGTTCTTATAACTGGATGACCTCCAGTTTGATCACCAGGTGCAATCTCCTCTGGCGCAGACTTAGCAAGCATTCTGTCTACATCTAGGATCTTGATCGAGGCGTCCACAGAGCCGGTAGCTATCAACTGACCATCCGCCGAAAAAGCTCCAGCTCTGCAATTTCCTTTATGAGATGTAACATATGCTGTTTCATACTGCGCTGGTTCTGGAGCTTGAGTCTGAGTCTCTGTTTCGAATTCCAAGTCTAATCCAGGTCCTAAAGTATTGTCAAAGCTTGATGCAAATGTAGACAGATTACTGCTGTTATCCTTTTTGGAACGATCTGGTTCGTGAGCAGTACCAATCAACATTAGATGAAGCAGTCGATCCGAAGGTGGACACGGCGGTTCTGCCTGTATCATATTGGACAATTGTACAGCTAGCGTCTGGTGACCATCATAGAACAGCTGACTGAAATATCCAACATGACTTATTTGACAATCTATTGCACACATCTTCACTTTTTGCTATTCATTTACAAGATTATAGTTGCAGATTGCAACTACGATTTCACGTTTACGCAAGAATCGCGCTTCAAGATCAAAGGTAAAGGGGCAAAATTTAAAAAGACACATGCGAAAGAGACGATTATAAACAACCTGATCATCAATCTGTAGAGCAACTCTCTACTTTTTATGATATTTTTCGGATCCGCTTCAGGCTCCTTCATCGTGCTCTGATTCGCCGTGTTTTTCGAAGGTGACTGAATGTTGCCGACTTTTATTGGAATCGTCGAAAGCACCACAAACCGCCCATCAATCGATGATTTTGGCCCTTTTTGTAGGTTATGTCGCGTTGTTGTCACCGACCACTTGATCACGTTATGCTCATGTTGCAGCATCGTCTGCGTTTGATTGGCGCTTCGCGTTGATAGCATTAATGGCGACCAATCGGTGCGCGCCGTCTCCGATCGGCGAGAGGTCCACGTGACACAACTGCGACAAACGCCAGAATGGCCGATGTGGACGGCAATGCGGAGTTAAATGAGATCGTTGTCTCCGCGGAAAAGAGCACGTGTTGCAAAAACGGCACGTTGTCGAATGGGAAATACGTCTTGCAAAAAAAGGAAGTCTTCAAATTGAAGAAAAGCGACAAAGATATCTATGTAAATAACAAGACTCCCCTCAAGGTATTTTGCGTGTAGAAATTATAACCTTCTAGTCCTTGCAATTTGATGTAGAATTATACGAATATGTATTCGCTTCGAAACGATATATTTAGTATTGCACCTTCTCAAGTGTTCGGCATTTTTTTAAAGGGATTTTTATACAAATGCGAGAAATTGTTCGATAGAGGTGCATCTGAACTGGTCATCCATGGTCTGGGCGCCGCTGTATACAGGGCAGCCAGGTTGGCTCTTCAATTAAAAGAAATTCATCATGGGACTTTAGATCTTGATATTAGAACATCTACTATTGCATTAGTAGGTATGTATGCCTTTCTGTATATGTATTATTATAAAATCCTAAGTATCTTGTTAATTGTAGATGAACTAGAGAGTTTAAGTGATGATGTAGACAACAAGATAAACAACAGGCAAAATTCTGCTATACACATACGAGTTATTAGAAGAGTGCCAGTGGCTGTGCTGAGATCTAAATAGGAAGAAATTGATATTGAAACTTTGCAAAATTATGTGTTTAATCAATATGTTTAATCAAGATAATAAGATTATGATAGGATGAATACAATTATTAGTTAAATTAATATTACAATACAAAGCTATATAATTTTTTACAATGATTTTCTCTCTGAACGAATTGGTTCACTGGTTAGGCTTAACGATCTTTGAGATATGGATCAATTTAGTCGCCTTAACATTTTTTACTGTTCTGCTAGCTTTAAAATTAGATGAAAATTATTTTTTGGGACCATCAGGATGGTGGGAAGTATTTTCACCGCTTTCTATAGCTGATGGTTTGAATACATATTTTTGCGCAATTATATTTATAAGAATGTATATGGAAGGAATGATCAAAGTAGGTATTTTGCGAGCGCTATGGAGTCAGACATCATTACTCTTGGTCTTTGTTTTTAAATACCTTTTGTGTAAAAAGCTCTCTGGACAAAGCACATTGGAGTATTCAGAAATTTTAAGTCCTGTATTTATTCTCCTGCAATTGATCGCTGTCAGAGCTTGCCAATTACATTAAGGGAAATGAAAGAAATTTGCACGAAGAATTTTGCATGATACTACTTCCAAATCTATCACATGTAAGAACATAAGTTATACGATACTTGTATATATTTTATTAGATTCATTATTTAAATTAAATCATTTTTAAAATTTTATCTCTACAAATATTACATTTATATTTTGATCCTGCTATTTAAAATTATGTAAGTCGTTATATCAAATAAGATGTATTATATAAGTATGTATTATATAAGTTTAATCAACTTTTTCTTTGAGAGACAATAATTATAAATATGAAAATGTTAAGATGATAAATTATATCTTGTATGTTTTATTAATTTTTTTATTTACAACTATTATATCAATTTATAGATATTTATAAATATAAATAGATATTTTATAATATATTTGATTTTTAATGCAGTGAAAACGACTAATGCTTATCTTTTTTAAAAATAAAATAATTTTCTTATATTGTTTTAAATTATATTGTTTTAAATTATATTGTTTTAAATTATATTTTTATACTGGATGATTAAAATTTCTTTAATTAATTTTCAGATAATTTGTGGGATTTTGAATTTACAAATTAATTAGTTCAAACAGAAAAATCAGAAATTGATCTCTCTCTCAAACTTGTAGTTTTACGGAACAAAAATTTACTTGAAATATTCACAAGAGTTCAATATTTTATACGTTAGCAAACTATTTTTAACCATCTTACTTTCCGATATTCCTTTATGCAATGTTTGGAATTTACGTTTCTTAGAGGATGGAAACTAAGACAGGAGTTTCCTTTTACAAAAATAACAGGCCTGTGAATCATAACATAACATAGACCGATAAATTTAACACTGCTCCATTTAAACTCTAAAGATAAACAACTGACCAACAAGCCAGGTGCTTTATGTGGGCATGTGTGCCCCCTCCAGTCCTCTTCAGCTAAGATCAATAATTCTAACTGAAGGGAGACAGTGGTTGTATTCAGTGAGAAGGGGTGCGTGAATCAAGTCATTCTATAGGTAAAGCCTGTTGCTGCTACCACATTTCGCAAGCTCGCAGAACGTGCTGCATAAAGCGTCACATTAATTGTCTATCATAAGACTGACTACTAATTACAAGATTCAGTGATGTGCAGTGGACATATCGAGGGATTATGGATAGGGCTAATTGGACTCCTGGTCAGTTTTCTCTCTCTCTATTCTCTTTCTCTTAACTTTTATAATACATATAGGATGGGGGCAAGTGCCATTTTTGTACGTAAAAAACGATCAAAGTTTCGATACACCAAATTAAATATATATCTCTTGTAAAGTAAATCTCTCTCAAGTAAAAGTATATCTCTTGTTGATCTGAATATTAATTCAACTCTATTAATTCAACAATTTCCAATAAATTATAAATGATATAATATGCGACGTAAAATTGTATCGTTATTACAAATTTTCTATAAAGGATGAATGTTCTATTATGATGTACATACATACACATCATTCTATTCGATGTTTTTGTTATCAGGTATAAACGCTACAACCCCGACGCCTGTCACAGCACAGAACTGTGTGTCAAATTCGACAAACTCTGCATTCTTAGACAAATCATTAGTCACCGCACCGTCATGGAGTGCGATACAGCAAGACATAAGATGGGCATTTCTATTACATGCATATAGTTTTGCATGTCTCTTCTTTGTATTAGGATTTTACACGTTCTTTTCTATTCTAAATTTAAGGTACGTTGAAGAATAACGCTGTGTATGTGTTGATAATACTGGACAGTGTACATCACGCGATCATTTTTCTTTAGATCTCTTATATCAACCAGGCCGTTTATGTCCACGATTAATATATTCTTATGTTTACTCGGGGCGTCGAGAGCTGCTTCCTTGTTCATAGATGCGTACAATCTTAAAGATATTTTGCCCAAAGTCATTGGATCAATTATATGGGACATTGGCTATCCATGCATTACATCTGCTTTTTGTCTGATACAACTGGCTTTCCTGCAACTGACAAAGGTATTTACAGCTTAGATTTAATTATTTAGACTTGATTAATGATGAATAAGTTACCATTGAACGTGTATTGCTATATCTTTCGTATGGCCAACTTCCAGTTGAAATTTGGTCCGGAGAGGATACAGAAGGAATCCTGCCTTAGCCTCGTTATAACAGCACACTTCTTTTTCGTGATCGCCAGCGATATCGTTCTATCCTCCCACAATTGTTACATGGCAAAATATATGGTCCAAGCGGCGTTTCTCATCTGGAGCATTCTTTTGTATCTTGCGTTTCTACACGCAGCTTACAAAATTGATCATTTGCTTCGAACTATGCCGAGTAGTATGTTAACACGGGACAATTCTAATGCGCATCAAAAAGGTCGGTTATCGACTTTCTATTTTAATAATTTTTGTAGATTTTTTGTAGTCCTTGTTTAATTCTTATCACAATATTTTATATACATATAAAATCATTTTATATATATATATCTTCTCTCTTTTCATTCTTTGTATATATGTTATTTATGATTTGTTTTGGAGTTGTTTACTTATTAAAACATGCACTTCAGGTATTATGCAACTCGCGATGTTAGCACCATATAGCAATCTGGCGACTTCAGTTGCTGCTGCGTTGGTACCGACTTTACTTGGCCCTAAGATGAAGGGTCCCGAAGAGAATGAGCCTCCAAACGCTAATAAAAATTCACAGGAAGCGCCAGCAGAAAGCGGTAATGCGCGACAAATATTTTATTATTATATAACATTATTACATAATATTATTACATAACATTATTACATAACATAGAAATACATATATATAGAAACACATACAAATATATTTTTTAATAAAATTTGATTTTAGAGTCACGAGTCACAATTACCGCCAAAGTGTGCAAAGAGGGACCAGTGGAAAAGGAAGCACATAATGTTACGATACCTACGTGCACCATACAATCACCGTCACAAGAACAAAAGTCGGCAGTACCGGAAGTCTATGTTAGACCACCCACCCCAACCCCGTCGACTACTAATTTACCGATTATAACTGTGTCCAGCCCGAGTCGTAGAAGTTCTATGGCAAGTCGACGAGGCAGCGACACATCCACCAAATCCTCGCGCAGAAATTCCGAATGTAGCGTTAGATTTGTAAACGAGGAAAACTCGACGGAATGCAAACGCACAACAGAGGGTAGCCCTAGATCTTTGCCGAGGATGCGAGAGGAGTTTGAGAGGAATCGCTCACCTGAAAGTCCGCGATATTCAGAGAACATCACGCCAACAGGTAGTACTAGAGAATTGAGACGATGTTCCGATTTTACGCATGAGAAGAATCGCGGCTCGCAATTTGCAACCAAGTTGAGAAGAAACAGCGATTTTGGTAATAGAACACCCAGAAGAATGTTGCCGCCGGATGAATTTCCCAGATTGCCCAAAGTTCTGGATGTTAGCCCTGCAGGTAAGAGAAAACATGTATTTTTATTTTTTTTAGTTACATCTCTTTTAATCATCTTTTATCTTGTCCCTATTCTGTTTAACAATTTATTTCAGGTTCAAGACGCAATTCCGATATCGGTACTTTCATGTCACCCAGACCTGATTCGCGTAGAAACTCCGAAAGTTCCTACCGACGCAATTCCGAGTTCATTCACATTAAGCCATTAATTATAAATCGTCGAAGCAGTGATATTAGTATCAGAACTCTAGACAGAAGTCCCACACACTTTCAGAGTATAATACCTATTAAGACAGAGGTACAGGAGAAATCTGAATCAGATTCAGATCATCCTGATTGCAGCGAAAAGGCAGCACTGATGAACGAAAAGTCAAAGAGCAAGGATGAAGAGCCGAAAGTACGCAAGAAAAATTTATCGTGGAACGATAAAAACATTGAAGATCCAGAGGACATTACGGCGGAAACTAACTTGCTTCCCGAAAATACTGGTGAAGCGAGAGTCATGGTATGTAACGCTTGCTGTTATATTAAAATACATTATATTAAAATACAGATGTATCTAAAATAAATTTGGACCTTTTCAATCGGCATCCGGACATTCTCTTAAATATCTTTTGTGTTACTTAAAAACTATATAACTATTTGCAGGGCACGGATTTTACCCTTCATTCGATACTAAATCATATCGCATATGTAAATCGAGCGAAATCCGATACACCGCTACATATACCGGAAACGGACACCGCGGTTGCCAGAAAGTCTCAGATGCAAAAAGTATTAAATATTACGCGTGGTACCGCGATTCTGGGAATCCTCTTATGCGTCACGGATGCCTTTCGTATTTTTGGACCATACGGTATTTACATATAAGAATAAGTGATAAAATAAAACTATGATCTTTATAAAATATTCATCATATCAAATAATATTCTGTAAAATATAATCGTTTTATTTCTTAGGACTCTTTGCTGAAACCGTACAATACGGCACGGAACCAGCTCCGGCGCAGTTTCCTATGCCGTGGCCATGGTTATTGTACCAAACAATACCCAGGATATTTGAATTTGTGATGGGTTGTGCTATGGCGAACATAACTAAACAGCCATCAGTAAGTCCGCGACATCAATATTTAAGTAATTATCCTAATTATTCTCCGCGTGTAAATCGAGGTAATAATCCTTACATATAAAGCAATAGTCCATCTATACGTGATCATAATCCAAAAACTAAGATGCCAAATAGAAGTTTTTTTTAATTTTTTTTTTAACTTTAATTTCTTCAAGATAAATATTTTTTGTGATAATTCCGTTTATATTCATTATTTTTTTTAATGTTTGTTAATAATTTTTGATTGATAAAAAATTAAACAAAGTTTAATGACACTTGTTTTCATATATAATCATAATCATAAATTGATAATAATTTCTAACCAAGATGCATGCAACGGCGAAGGCGTCATTATCAATACGTAATAAAAAGAGACAAAGACAAAAAGACAAGTCTCAAAAAATTTATTACACATGAAAACATAGCAATAAATATAGAGTAACACTCTAAATATGAAATAAATGTTTAGACAACATCTAATAATAAATGCAATAGTGAAGTAGCATTTTTAAAAATCACTTTTTAAAGGAAGTGTTCATTCGAGGCACATATACATATATAAAAAAAAATCAGATATCTATTTTTTAAATTAGATTAGTTTCCTGACAGATTTAATTTAATGATTTATACTGTGTTCTCAGAAAGATACATATACATATATATATTTTTTTGTCGTTGAAAAGAAATATATATACATATATATCATTTTTTAACTTACATATAAAATTCGATATTTTCGAAGTAAAAAAAAAAAGAGAAAATAAATAGACTGTATATAAGCAAAGACGTTAAAATAGTAGGTGACTTTTACTGATAATATGTGAAATAATGCGTTTTTACTGTGTGTCAACCGCACCAATGCTTAGAAGTAAAAGTACGAATCCAAACTCTCAAAGTGCCCTACTACTAAATGTTCAACAAAATTACAACAATGATTAATACATAAAATGACTTATCTGCAAGTTGAATTTGTAACAGTGTTGTGATCCTATATGTGATATCATATTTATGTGTTTAGAATAGGAGGCCATTTTACGCTTATGTAAGCTTAAATAACGCTATATTCCGTGAGATAAAAGACTGTAAAAGTGAAATTATGATAAAAACAGAGCTATATTTCATAGCTTTATCACAACTGTATGCATAATATTTCTTACTTTTCGTATTTTATATAATTAAGATAGTCAGTATTTTATTATTACGTTGCATTTGTCTTAATTAATAGTTTGATATATATTTTTTTATCCTTTATATAAAATTACAGCTAAAATTATATTTTATGCGTGTAATGCTGTGCATATCATGATACTTTATTTGTCGTATGCAAAAGATATTTTTTGCAATCTTTTTTATTTCTCTTCATTACAAGCATATATGTTCAATAATGTTAACTTTCTATTTACGTATTATTCTGTTTACCTCACTATAAAACCAAATATAGAACAAGTGAGAAATCTAGTAGTAATACTTACAGGAGCATAAAAGGTCTCAGAGAATAAAATATCTGTTTGAAATTTATAGTAAAATAAAAGTAGTGATTTAAAATGTATTATTGATGTTTCATGTGCCAAATACTCGTGTTAACTATTTTAAATGTTTACAAGAGATAAAGTCTTATTATTCTAACAAGAATTCTTCTATAAAAAACTACTATATAATATAGATAAATATTTATATACGATTGGATGTACAATAACAAGCAACTATCGTTTTAATCAAATAAGGATTCTGAAATTATAATATATACGTAATATATAATTGATATTTTTACTGATGGAAGATCGTAATATTGCAAATTCAATAGTTAAAAACAGATATAAGATATATTATTAAAGTTTTCAATAGAGATTCTCTATTTCGCATCTGAATTAAAAAATAATTATTTCTTAACATGACTATTTGGTCGTTAAATAGATAATATATAAAATAAAAAAGTTGTGAATTTTATGATAAATATTATATATATTCAATTAAGATTGATTGCCATTAATTGTTATTAATGAACTACAAAGAAATGTCTAAAAATCCTGAAAACATTTTCAGAATGTCTTGCCCAGAAATATAAGAGATATAATCTATATCTCATATAGCACTTATACAGCACTGATTTTATTCTTAGCAATATAGCTCTGACCAAGCAAAAAATATATTAGAATAAGAATTTCTTTATTCTATCGATTGATTTTAGATACTTATACACTTATACCCTATCCGTAATAGGAATGTCTTGTAGTAATATAGTTGAGGGTAGTATAAAATTCGTTATCATTTATATTGCTTTATTATATTAGTCTCAGGATTATTATATTGTTATACTTAAGATATATCGTAATATAATCAACAATTATGTAAAAGGTTTATTGAAAAAGAAAGAATTGTGTAGAAATAAAGAAGAAAAATTAATTTTTTTTGTAATTATACTCTTAACTCGAAAACTCTATTTGGGATGAGAACTTTCAATATTAAAGGTTACAATATATACGTTATATAAGAAACAACAATTCTTATGGAGTAGCGATCTATACTAGTAATTGTTCCTTTTTATTATTACATTTGTGGGTATACCATTTTCGTATCTATTTTAACAAAGTATATTGTAAACAAGTCTGAGTTACAATGAAAAAAATCTCCGTTTACTAATAATCTATCTTTTGTAAACACAATAAAAATATTATATCATCTTTATATTTTCATGTAATAAATTTAGTAAATTGTTTCAATTAAAATTTATGTAGCCAGTGACAAAAGAAATCGAAAATAATTAAAAATAATATAATACATGTCTTGCATTTATGCATTTACAAAATCGTAGTATTAAAAAATTTAGGCAAAAAACATTTGAATAAAGCGTGCGAATTATTCAAAATCCTAATTAATAAATGAAGAAATCATTTATAAATGATCATCATTAATAAATGATTAATAAATTAATCAATCTGTTCAATTTAACTGAACAAATTTAATTGATCATTCGAATAATTCTAATATTGAAAAAAATATAAGCAAAAATAATATTCATTATAAATAGAAACAAATTTTCTTTTCTGAAATCAGATCGAAAAGATCGAACAGTTCGAATATCTTCATCACCTTAATCGAATAATTCAACATTCGATCTTTAAATCCTCAGTTTAAATTGTTCGAGTACATAAAAGTTTCACACATCTATATTAATTGTATAAATTATAACCGAACCCATTTTGAAGCCCCTTTTCTAGTATATACATTATATAATCCGCGTGGCATTTTATTTTTTACATGCTATTGACAATCTATTGATTTATCCTCGATAGTCAAAATAATCTATCTCTTTGTCAGCAGTTTTAGTTGAAGATGATGGCAGCGATTGCTGATTTTGTTTTATAGGTAATGAAAGAACAGTCCTGCAATACATAATAACTCGTTATATATTTATTTATTAATTCGTTATTCAATTACGAATAAATTACGAATAAATATCTTACTTTGTAGAGTTATTTCCTTTCGAAGCATTGAGTACCGGACCTGGAACTTTCCTTTGTCCTTTTTCTCTCTGTATCACTTCCAGTAAACTATAGCTTGGTAACCAACACTGCAAAACAATAAATTCATTATTGTGATGACAAACATTTCAATCAAGTGATTGAAGATTTTACTTTATCTTTTCTTTTACCTTATCTTTCACGGCAGTAGCAACAACATTTCTCTTCGGTTCTTCATCGTACGCCTGACTTTCGCAGCCGAAATGCTGGCATGACTCATGTACGAAATGACGTTTTTCTCTGTTCATAACATCAAATGAGTAACTTCGAGATTTTTGCTTGGACGTCTTCGCCAATTGTACCAACTCTGTCAACTTGTCATGAACCATTTGACAGAAATGCGGGTCTTTCTTAGCCCACTGTTTCATATAATCACTGTATCTGGGCATCAGTTTGCCGCTTAAGTCCGGATTGACGATTTGTAGTCCTAATGCAAGTCTTCTATTTCTTTCTATCGTCTTGCACTCATCGTTGCACTCCAGAGTCTTCAACTGATTTTGCTTCTTCGCGCCTTGTCCAAACACTTCTTCCAAATCGACAGAATGACCGAGCTGCATATCAGCCATCTTACTAGCTAAAATGTTGCTTGCTATCCTTTGGTATTCTCGCGCGTTATCGGCACAGACACGACTCATAGTTCTATGTCCACACTGACATGTAACCTGTTATGTAATCATAAACATAATGCAAAACTTTAAAATGGTCGTTGATCACAAAAACAAGAATTATTCTTACCTTAACCATCTCTTTGCAAGGTGTATCTGGACATTTTCCTTCGTGGCATGGAGCGGCGCAAATATGCCCACACAACTCTCTCGTTGTAGTGCATGGTTGTGTACATTGCTGTCCGGATTTCTCACAGGGTCCAGAATGACACATCGTGATGCATTTATGCCGTCCGCATATCAACGGCTTGTTACAAGGCAGACCGCATGAAATTTCTTTCACATGGCATGGTACCGCCTTTCTAAGCTCGTGTTTGCCGTGACACCATCTCTGAGTTAGAACGCTGCAAGGTGGACACGTGGGCTCGCTGTGACAATTGTGCAGCACCTCATGGTCACAAGAATGTTCGCGCGAACACGGCCGATTGCAAGTAGGCCTCCTCGTACCACATGGTACTGGCGGATAGATTACCTCAGCACCACATTCACAGTACAACTCTTCAAAGCTGCTTTCCAAGCAAAGTGAACATCTTCCTATTAAAAAAAAAAGGATTTTATTTTGTCTTTTTAACGAAGATATGATTTTATGTATAAGCATATGCATTTACCCATGTGACATCTCTCCTGACACTTGTGCCGACCACAGCTTAAGGTCTTTGAACATGGCAATGGACAGATATGCTCGATATCGATGCAGCATAGCTGATTACAGTTGTGTTTGCCACAGGATCTTTTTTTCTTGCAGCGTTTTTCGCAGCGTGCGTCATCGGCCTTACTCGTTAGATCCTTGCAAGCGATCTCGCGATCCATATTACCGCATCGGCATTTAACGTCAGTAGTCAAGTCACATTCTGGGCATTTTCCCGTGTGACACGGTGCCTTACAAATATGTGGATTACCTGCAAGGGTAAACAATACACTTGTACATAAACATGGATACACTTGTACGATAAACTGTGAAGCATAATATGTCTAAAGTGCTTACTAGGCTGGCCGCATTTCAAGCGCTTTGAGCAGATTTTTTCGCAAGTCGGTATAGGATCCATGCAGCTCTCTCTCTTCTCCGTTAACGGTGTTTGACCGCAGCAACACATTGTAATTCTTTCGGGCGTCAAAGAACAGGATTCACAAGGTTCCGAATGACAGATTTTCTGACAATAATGTTTCTCACAATCCAATGGTTTGTTACAAATATTATCACAGCAGTACGTATCTGCGACATTGGCTCGACAAGGTACTTCCTGAATTTTCTTACTACAAAAACACGCTAAACAAAGTAAAATAAAAGCAGTCATATTAATTATCTATTTAAAAATTATATACTAAACATGGAATATTGGAATATTGGATATGGAATATTACTTTGTCGCACAATTTTGTCGCAGGGCCCGCATTCTCCTTGATGGCATTTTCTTTGGCAGGTGTGCTTGCCACACGATAGATCTTTTCCACATATCGAATCGCACATCAACAATTGATGAGCGCTACACAGTAGCATTTGCGACGTTCTCCCGCATCCGCAGTATTTAGTCACCATCGCCACACATTGCGGACAAGAGCCAGGATGACAAAGCAGAGTGCATTTGTGCGTGCAATTATTCTTGGACAAGTGTCGGCCGCAGATATCGCCGCACGAGTGTGCCACGTCTCTGCGGTTCCACTCTGGCATCTTCATCTTTCCACAAAAGCAGACGTAATCTTCAGGCACGAGAAAACTAACGTCTCGACAAGCCGGGCATTTCCAACTGTTATTCTCTGAAAAAGAATAAGTGAATAGATCGTGTTCAGTAATCTAACGCGACGGTGAGTTCAACTGCTTACTTACCACCTTGGGATGATTTTGCCCATTTTTTGATGCATTTCAAATGCAATACATGATAACAATTACTACAAGACCAAACGTAGTCATTTTGCTTGATGTGTTCATAACAGACCAAGCATTCCAATGTTCCCTTGTTCAATTGTTCAGTTAATCTCTCCCTTTGACTCGCGTCATCATCTGAAAAGAATACCTCAAGTTAATTAAAATTTTTTTATAACAATAATAGTATAAATTTCTTTGAATTTTTATGTAAACATACCAATGTCAAATTTTTTCTTCAAATTTTTCCCCTGCCCTGCACGTGTCATTTCATTATTCTCTGTCCTGTCTCTCCAATTTTCTAGTTTCTTCTCCTTGTAACTTGTCTCATTTCTTCTTTGTATTTGTCTTCCTGTTGTCTTGTATCTAGCACTAGGTTCAGATTGCATATCATCTGGATTATATTTATAATTATTAGATGTATTGGCGAATCGCTTAGATCTACCGTTTCGTTGTGCTTCAGAAATTTTCAAGGGCATATTTCCCGAATCGTTATTATCATGCGTCAGCGTTTCTTCTTTATTTCTACTGATCCTTGTATCCGAAGACGAGTCATTTTCCTGAATCTCCTCAACAACAATCTTATTTTCTTGACTATTAGTTGTAGCTGAATCAGAAGCTTCAACTGTAAATGAGTGAACTTCTCCAGTGATATTCTGTTCCATGAAGGATACATCTGATTGATGCTTCTTATTGTAATATTTGCCGTTCTGAAATTTATTATAATTTCTCGTGTTGTACGTTCTATGAGTACCCCTGTAGCCCGATCTCAATTGCATGTCTTGCTGCGAGTTTCTCTGCCTGTAACTCATATCCCTTCTATTATCGTAACGCTTCTCGCCTTTGTACCTGTTGTCCATCGAGGTCGATTTTGGTTTGAATTCCTGCGCATAGGTATTAAAACCTTTTCCTGCGGCGTTGCCCTGTTCATCCAATCTTTTGCCAAATCTGGAATTCTTCTTGAATCTTACCTGATTATTCGGCACGAATTCGTTAGCCATGGGATGCAGATTGGAGTTCTCTACTACGCTAGACTGAATAAAAACGTCGCCCGCCGACGCCGATGTCGACGCCGACGACGATGATGACACGCCTGGCGGCGTGTGTTTGCCGGGCATGCGAGTACCTCTAGATCTCAGTCTGTAACCGCCACGGGAGAAGGGCGGCTTGTTGCGCGATGTTGCATGGACGGTGTTTGAGGCCCGCGTATTTTCCACGGATGAGGAGCCTGGCAGTACACGTTCCTCGTAGATATTGTTTCCCAAAGGCACCATGTTCGACGGGTGCTGATAGAAAGCTGTGGCTGAGCCGCCGCTCTGCTCGCGCTGACCGCCCTCGGCTGCCGGATAATAGTTTCTGGAGTTCCCAGAGATATACGGCCAGTCTCCCGTGATAGCGTTGGCCGCACTCCCATCGGCGTACACGAAGTAATTCGGGTCCTCCTGATACGAGCCATCCCAGGTGGCCATCGCCGCGATTGCACAGTAACGCGAAACTTCGCGTGATTGGAAACGCTGATAAACAAGCAGCTCTCTTCTCTTATCTGCCGAGATCGGAGAGCCTCCTCGCGAAGGAGAGAACGAGAGATAGCGATTCGTTTCGTCAAATTGCAATATGTTACGTTAGACCGCGCGTGTCTCGGAATGACCTTGTCCTAACCTAAAATAAAAACTCGATAGGAGGCACCGTAGGCGAGCCGTTATATCTATTTGTCAACTGTTCGAAATTTTAAATCGACCACGACGAAAATTTAAAGACCGCGAGTGTATGCACGTGAGAAATTCTTACGAATCTTTTTTAATCCCTTTCCCGTCCCAGCGGCGGTTACGGCACCCCCTAATGGAAGCCACCGAGTGGTGGTACTATATATTCAAATATCAACGCGTCGTCAATAAGTAGGCAATCTACATTTTCCGACATTTTTGGAATAATATAGAGAATATAGAGAAAATATAGAGAAAATAATAATATAGAGAATAATAATAAAATAATATAGAGAAAAATAGAAATAAGATTGTGAAAATTTTAATTTTTGTGAAAATTTTAAAAAATGATATAGGAAAGTAAATGATGTGATTTTTTTCAATTTTTGTTGCAAAAATTTTCAATTGAAAATTCCATTTTGACAACACCATCTCCTATAACACATAAATTTGAGATAAATTTAATCGAAATTTAAAATTCTCAAGTGTGATAGCAAATCCTTTTAAACATATACTAATATTAGTTTCGCTATCTTATTAATTCTTATAATCTTACTAATAATGATTATAATCTTATAATCTTACTAATAATGATGAAGGAAACAATAAAAATATATATATATACATATTAGAATTATATTTAAAAAATCAAATGTGTAAAATAATCCATTTATATAATTTTTCGATATTATATACATTTTATGTATATAATATTTTAGTCAAATATATAAACAATATTCAAGTTAATTTTTTATATAAAATTTATAAAAAATTTCCATTACTGGACTAAATATCCTGTTAAAATATAACCACCAGTGTCATTCGTTAGGATATCGGGATGTGTCCTATCAGGCAACACTTGATACGAACGTAAAAAATTTGTAAACAGCTTCAGATTTATTACACTATATTTTTGTTTGAGTTCCATGTAGGTTTCCTGAAGGGGTTCCCGATATGCATGAAAAATGACGAACGGCCGCGAAGCTCCCAAGAAGGGTAGTAGCGCAGTCGCAATATTTAAGGGATGCTCCTTTGCTACGATAGTTAAACCACGAGCCTTTGAACTGTTTAATAAATCTACAGCGCGTTTCGTTTCCAAAAACCATTTCGGTTTTTTCGGAGGTGTCGTTTCTGTTTCAGATTCTTCAGATTCAAGTTTTCGTTTCAAGGTACTAGTATTTTCCTCGATATCACAAGCAAAAAGCATACCATCTTCTTTTGCATCAGTTTTCACTTCTGCTTCTGTATTATCTGATACTTCATTATTTTTAATTTCTTTTTCAGGATTTTCCATTAGCTTTTCTGTATCTTGTGACTTTACAACATTATTAACAGTCTCCTTAGATGTATTGGAAATACTGTTTAATATATTTTCTTCACCTTGATAATGTAATCTCAAGAAACTATAAATATTTGCTGCAATGTGCCTATCTCTCAATTCCTGTGGAAAATTCATAGCCTGAACAAAGGCAATTTGAGGCATGTTTCCAGGATGTAGATTGATCAGGTAACCATTGGTATTTGCACCTATTCTATTTAACATAGCCGCAGCAGGCAATCCTTGGCATCCACTGTCGTACAACATGTGCAAGCCATCCGACTGCACATCGCTATAAGATAACATCTGCGCCAGAGCATCCATTCTCAATCCTCCGATTTTCTCGTGTTTCTGCTTGAAGTACACTTCGTGCAGCGATACTATAGACGTCCTGCATATTGTCAAAAATCTAGAATACTTGCGCTCCTTTTTCTTGATGTATTTTTCTTGCGAATACTCCGTCTTGGCAGCAAAAGATTTGCTATTCTCGATGAGGCTGCCAGTTATTTCTTTACCACTCTTGCCAGCATCTCGTAGTTGCAAGATTTCCTTCTTCGACAATTGCTGGGACATGCCATCGTCCGTGATGAAGCGATTATCCCAACCACTCAACTCGCCCTTCAAATCGTCCCATGACTCCGCTCGTTCGACGTGTTTTAGGGTGAAGGTATCCTTGCTGCCTCGCACTGGCACCATCTCGAAGGTACTCCAGAATGGTTTACCAACGATCTCGCACATCTCCACCTTCTGATTTTTTCCTAACATTAAAATACCATCTTCGGTCACCTTGTACACCTTGCTGAAATCCTGTTTCTTGACTATCACGTGCATGCCCACTGTGATCACGTTCTCCGAGGACTCGTAAGTATTTTCCGTACTCATTTCTTTCTACAAGTCGAGTCTTTTCGATCTTTGGTTCATGAATTTCTTGTACGTCTGACCTACAATTTATATAATTTTTTCAAGTATTATTTTCCAGTTCGCACGCTCTTTCCCGACGCTTTCTTATAAAATGATGTATCACCTTTAATAATGTCTTCAAATCTTCCCTCTGCAATCGTTGCCATACGTTTTTGTGTTTTTAGGTTAGGTTAAAATATTCCGCTGATTTGAGGTTAAAACGAGGAACACATGGTCGCAATATGATTAATGTTCTAATCGCATTTTGTGCATGTTCACAATATCGTGTGCTCGTATGATATTTACAACCGCATATTTCGGTTGAACTTTTCGGTTTCTCTACGAAGCGATGTATGTCTGAACCGTTTAGAATAAGGTATAACTTTGATAGTTATTTATTCAATATACACATTTTGACACAAGTAACGTAAAAGACTTCTGACATTATTTATAAAGTCATTTATCTTCAATAAAGCCTTTCTGGTTCATTTGATGACGAGTTTCACATTTTAATGATTGCAGAAAACAAAAATGATTCATCACAATGAATTTCAAGCCATTGTGCTTGCCGGAGGAAAAGGTTCCCGTATGACAGAGCTTACGGCAGGCACGCCGAAATGTCTACTTCCGATTGCGAACGTTCCCATGATTTGGTATCCCCTGCAAATTCTCGAGCGTTCAGGCTTCAAGGAAGCGATTGTCATTGTCTCCGAGCCGACAAAATCTGATGTATCAGCAGCATTGGACAAATTGGGTCTGAAAATCAAGATAGAAATTGTAGGAATTCCTGGAGCCGAAGATCTTGGCACAGCCGATTCTATTAGACTTATTCATGAAAAGATATATACAGATATTTTAGTGATATCCTGTGATCTAATCACAAATGTTGATTTATCAGAGATCCTCAATTTGTATAGGAAACATAATGCAAGTATAACTGCTTTGATGTTGCCTGTGCCAAAAGTACCGGATGACTTTGTAACACCAGGCCTGAAAAACAAACAAAAACCAGAAATAGACTTGATTGGTATTGACAATAATACACGACGATTGATGTTCTTGGCATCAGCATCTGATTTTGAGGAAACAGTTACCTTCTCGCAGAGACTTCTCAATAAATATGCTAGCTTTGTTGTTCATTCTAAATTGATGGATACACATTTGTACATTATTAACAAATGGGTGTTAGATTTTTTGATATTTAACAAGTAAGTAAGGAAGAAATGTTGAAAAAACTTGGAATTTAAATCTAATATTAAAACATGCAAAAATATTTTCAGAAATTTCACAACGTTGAAAGGTGAACTTCTGCCATACATAGTTAGTAAACAATATTCTAAACCTAAACAATCTATAGATGACAAAACCTCTATAGTACAAGAGGATTTGAAGGAAGACATTTTTCGTTTTGCAAGAGAAAAACCGTTAAATGAGTTGATAAGAAAAATGTCGGCCTTTAATGATCATAGCAATGATTTGGAGGAAGCATATCACGGAGACGTAATACGATGTTACGCTCATGTCTCATATGGAAAGTTTGGTCTTAGAGCAAATACCATACAAATGTATCATCTTGCAAATGCTAAGGTTGATATGTTGCTTATTTTAGAAATTTTTATAACAAAAAGAATATATATACAGGAGTATCTGCACTTTAATATATTTATCATAAGGGAAATCAATATTAATCTAATGTAAAAAAATCTTATTTATCTAATGTAAAAAATCTTTTATAGATATCAGAATTGTGGAATATCAATGATAAAAATGTTGATCGATTATCATTACCACTAAGTATCTCGAACACAGCGACTGTACATAGTACACAGATGCAAGAATGTCGCGTAGATGATAATTCATTGATCCAGGAGAAAACATCATTAAAGCATAGTCATATTGGACCTAACAGCGTCGTGGAGTCCAAGACAAGAATATCTCAAAGTGTGATAATGGGACATGTAACTATTAAACAAAGGTGAGTGCAGAATTATCAAATTAATTATCAAATATATTTATGATTTACATTAATTTTTTTTTACAGGTGCGTTATCCACAATTGCATATTATGCAATGGTTGTATTATTGAGGAGGGTACCGAATTAAAGGATTGTTTAGTTGGAGCACAACATGTTGTAACATCTGGTAGTCAGCATTCTCGCGAAGTACTCACTGAAGCGGATAGACTCATAGAAATTTAATTATGTACCATGATTATACTATTTACAATAAACGTCTCTGAATATATATAAAAAGAAATTATCTTTTATAATTGATCAGAATTACAGTATAATTTAGATATATTAATGTATTTTTTTTTTATTTTTTTTTAAGTTTCTTTTAAGAAATAAATAATTCCGATCCTCATCTTATTAATTACTCAACTCCTTAATAAGGATCTCTCACCAACATCAATTAATTTAACCGGCTGGTTATTCCATTGGAATTGATCAATCGTAATTTGTCTACAAATTTACAACAAATATGATTGGTCAATTCCAATGGAATAACCGCTCGATTAAATTAACCGAGACCGGTGAAAGAGAATTATCTCTAATTGTCGGACATAATTAAAATTAACCATTATGTACCTATAGTTTACCATCATTTAAAAAAAATAGTTTACTATCTGAAAAAGAGTTTTGCACTATTACAATTAGTTCTACTCGACAATTACAGAAAGCATTTGAAAACGTATTCTTATTGGCTGATCCGGCTAAACGAAGGAACGGTTTGATTCCCTGATTCTCTTTCCGGTGTGCTTTTTCGATCAAAATGGTGAGCGTTGATTTTCGTTATTCTAATCGTTTTGTTTCGCAGCGATCCTAATAGTCAGCCGATTTATCAGCGCGGAAAAGATGTCCTGAATTTCTGTAGAACCGATATAATTGAATAATATCGAGCAAGAAAAATGTTGATCCACGCGATACTGATATGGTTTCGATGTATAGGTTATAACAATGTTTACATGCTGACACGTTAAAATCGCTCGTCGCCAGAAATATATTTATTTTTTTCTTTTTTGTCTAATTTATTTATAGAGATGATTGAAATGGCTCTTTTTTTTATTCTTATTTGTTGCTGATGTCCATTTTTCTTTTTTAATTTGTGACATTTGGGAATCGGAAGTCTAGGTTACGTTTGCCATGCTTGTCCTTAATGTTCACAGACGAAGGGTACATCCAGCTTCGGTAAACGGCGCAATAAGACGCACACGTTGTGCAGGAGATGCGGACGTAGCTCTTACCACATCCAGAAGTCACAGTGTGCGCAATGCGGTTATCCTGCTAAAAAAATGCGTTCATGTAAGTTGTCGTGACAAGTTTATATAGAGGACTGTGTGTGTATTCATTTAAACAACAAATATTTTACGTTTAGGAACATTTAATTATATGCAATGACTTTTCAGATAATTGGTCGGTCAAGGCAAAGAGGAGGAAGACTACTGGTACTGGTCGTATGCGTCATCTTAAGATTGTACGCCGTAAATTCAAGTAAGTTATTATAGTTGTATCATAAAAGAAATGTTGAAACAAATGATCTATAAACGATTCTTTAATAGTAATTTTATTGCTATTTCATCTTTTATTTATTAAATTAGATATAGTGAACATCTAGTTTTTCTTATGATTAGTAATACATATATGTATATTACAATGATTATTTTCTTTATAGGAATGGATTCAGGGAAGGCTTGCCAAAACCCAAAGCTGTGGCGGCTAAGTAGAACATCGACATCTCATCTTATTGTCTAATTAAGTTGTTCAATTTTGACTATCAATAAAAAATCTAAAAAATTCATACAGTATTAGTATGTCAATAAGAATTCCTTATAATTCTAAATGATCATTACATTTATTAGACTTTTTATGCCTATAAAATAATTGTATCTATAAGTATTTTAATATAAAATCTCAAATTTTTCAAAACTGTTGGTTTCTCTTTGTAAAATTTATAAGAATGAAGTTATCTGCAACTTCCTATGATAATCATGAATATAAAAGCTCAAGTATGGTTGTACATATTATCTTAGCTCTCTTCTCATTTTCTTTTTTTCTATTGATACATTAAGTAGCGTTTGTAAACACGTGAGATGAGCTGATAAACCTGTATACGTATTCTTATGTATTATATCATATCTGACAAGAAAATTTGAAGAAATGTACGATCGGAAAGATAAGATGCGTCTATATTGTATATCGTTTGCGCAACCTCCGCGGAATTTTTAATTACCGCGGCGTCCCATATATTTAGCGGGCTTCCGACCTCGCCAAACAGTACGTTCGATACACGATGATAACTCGAGTGGTCGGTGCAGTTTCATTGTGCATTTAGGCCTCCAATAGTGCATCCGAAGATTATTGATCTTCAGCCTGCCAATTTGGGAGTTATGCCACGCAACAATATTCAGCGAATGTTTCGTCTCCACAAGCACCGAAGAATTAAGAAGATTCGCTCGATTAAATAATAATAAATTTAAAAGAAGGAAACATATCTAGAAACGCACACGCGCGAATTTAACTAGCGGACTCAAAGGCAACTTGATCGAGAAGGCAAATATTAGCATTTTTATCATATACATATAATTTTCACAGAACATTTGTGATTATAAAAAATTTCTGCTCTTTGGACAATCTGTTTAATATTAAATATTAAAACGAATTTTATCACAAGATTTGTATAATATATAAAATTTACAAATGGGCGTTCTACGTCAGCTATTGTTTGGTAAGTATATTTTTATTTTCAATTTCTCATTGAAATAATAATAAAACAATTCTAACAATAATGATTGTATGATATTTATATTTTTTGCTGGGATTTACAGGTAAATATCTGTTAATAACCAACACTGTAAGTTGTGGTCTAATGATGGCAGCGGGAGATGTAATTCAGCAACGCAGCGAACATTGGAAAAAGAATTGTTCTCACAAATATTTTCCGAGCAGCGTCATAGCAGCGTCACCTGAAAATGAAGAGATGACGACAATTTCCGATACATCCGTGTATGGGCACGACTATATGAGAACCAGGAATATGACAGTCGTGGGGCTGCTTCAAGGTCCATTTCATCATTGGTTCTACACAATTCTAGACAAAGTTTTTCCAGGCAGGAATGCAAAATCGGTCCTAAAAAAGACACTTCTTGATCAATCGATCGCGAGTCCCACGTGTCTAGCGATATTCTTTATCGGTCTCGGGATCTTGGAAAGTCGTAAAATCGAGGAGATCTGTAAAGAAGTAAAACTGAAGTTTTGTGACACGTGGAAAGTAAGTATAAGATCAGATTAGTTAATCAATATTTCAATAATCGTACAAACTTATAATCGTAAAATAAAAAACATTACATTGCCAGGTCGACTGTTGTTTTTGGCCTCCAACACAATGCGTTAATTTCCTCTTTGTACCTCTGCATTATCGAGTACTCTATACGAATGCTATGACGATGGTCTACGATATTTTTTTATCGTATATAAAATATGTAAGTTTTATGCCTATGCTTATCATATATTATAAATAGAAAGTTGCGAAATAATAAATTACTTATTTCATCTATAGGACGCTCACTTCGAGTGATAGAAATCTCATGGCTAGTCTGAAGAAGAGATATGACTGTATAATTTGCAAATAATAATTGCGAAATATGTATTGTATATACGTCATTATTAATTATACGCAACAAAGTGCAATAAAATGCTGTCGGAAAGAATTTCCAAGTAGAGGATTACTATATCTTCCCTTTCCAATGCCTTATCACAATTCGATCTATTTGTCTGCTTCCACGATTTTTACAAGTAAACGATTATGACAAACAAATGCGATCATTCGGTACACAGTTCCTGATGCGATATGCGCAAGGATAATATTATCGATAACAATTGAACGGATAATGTTAAAAATATCGGAATGTTATTTTTTATAACGTTAATATTTTACGGTATATTCAAGAAAATAAAAAAATGATAAAGTTTAAATATCCAAGTTCAAATTATGTCATATATCAAGGCGTTAGACTTGTGCTAAATTTAATCATTTGTTTTTTTTTATTTCACTCGAATGAGATTGCAAAAATAGTCATTCTCTATCCAATGTTAATTTACACGCTAATAAATCCGATGAGGCAGTCGGAAGTTTAGCGGTGTCATTCAAGCCAGATGAATTATTCGCACGTGGAAGGACGCGGCATGCAATTGCAAAATAATAGCGAATACGAAATCGAATTGGCCTGTGGACATGCAACGATGCATATCCTAAAACAATTCACAATGATCGCCTTATCGCGCGCAATAATCGCTCATTGAGTTTATTTATTTGCTCGACTGCTTTTGTTTGGCATTTGGCGACAGTAAGATTACGCGGTCTTCTAACCAGCCAGACAACGTCGTGAACACAAACACGATTAATGGACATAAACACAAACAATAAATTTAACCGTCACACGACACAAATGATCGACAAGAATATCTCGCACGTGAAATACGTGGCTTTATAACGAGCCTCATCGTTCGTTCACTTTTTCCCTTTATTTCGAGCGTTGTCGAGCAACAATTATATTGATCTGGAATCAATATGATTTTTGTGATATGACATCAATATGACATTTTATATAAAGTGAAAATGCATATATAAGAAATCATAAGTATAATATATCCTTACTTTTTTAAAGATCTGTTACGTATCTTATTTATTATCTCGGACAAAGAACAAGGTCATATTTGTCCTATATATGCTCTCTTCCCTTATCTCAGTCTATTTTCCACAATAATTCATCAATTGTAGTTTTCAACTTTAATAGATTATCTGCGATATCGTCAATGCGATCGGAAATTTGATCTCGATAACGATACTTATATGCCAATAATCTTCATTGTTTTCTGCAACCTGCGGTTGTAAGATTAAATTTTTTAAAATTAATTTATCTTACATCCTAATCCTTTTCTTCATGCATCGAAATACAAAAAAATTTTTAAATTTTAAATTTAAAAATTTAAAAAATTTAAATTAATTTATTATTGACTAAATACTGAAGTTGACCTGATCAGCACTAACACGATTCTCTATAATAAAATTTCTAAATATATAAGTTATCGTCTTAATTCATTCTTTCTTTTTATATATCAAAGATTTTGTTAGAAAGTTTTGTTAAGGTATTAATAAATTAACTTTGATTGAAGTTGATCGAAGTTACTCTCACACAAATATAAATAACGGACTATGATGAATGAGAGAAAAAGAGCGAAGAAGAGAGAGAGACAGAACGAGACAGCGCGCGAGGGAATCGGTAGAAGGAAGGGGAAAGAAAAGAAAGTGTAGTGGGGGAAGGTAGAATAGCCTATGATTATCAACCGACTTCAGTATGCTCGAAATTTTTTAGTTTTGATGGATAGCGATTCGTTTTTTTTCTGAATACACAAATGCACGGGCTTGCCCGTTTTCCCGACGGTATCCGCGGCAAGTGAAAACGGCGTGCTCGGCGTAGGTAAGATGCATCTCCATTCGACAAGTCACCTGAAGGTTCCCCTCATTTAATTGGCCTACATAACCACTCCGACAATTATGAACCTGCAAACGCTCTTTCAGGATTTCAATCCGAGGTAAATTCTCGTGTCATCTGTTCTAACAATTTGTTACGGCAGTTTACACGAAGGATTAGCAAGCATTACACGAACTGAAATCAATGCCAAGGAATTATCACGAATATTAATTTTAAATTTCAGTAAATTTCTGGTGCACACCTGCCTGATGATATTTACCTCTCTGTTCGCACTTCGACTGGATGGCTTTATCGAATGGAGTTATTGGTCGATATTCAGTCCAATATGGTTCTGGAAAGGCATGGTGATCCTGGGGGCTATAGTTGGAAGTTACGTCTGGTGGAGGCATCCTCATGCAAGATTAGAAGGGGATGCTTATGTACATTATAAAGCAATGCTGATCACCTTGGCATTGCATTTGATTTTATTGATGTTTGAATTGTTAGTATGCGACAAATTAGAATCCGAAAGGCATTTATGGATATTGGTATTCATACCTTTGATTTTCATCTCAATTGTGTCGATTGCGGTAGGTATTCACATTTTTTTAATTAATAATTATATTGACAAATGCTGTCATCTTCTGATAGACCTCTATTATGTTTTAGGTTTGCATCTGGGCTGTAAAACATGATCGATCATTTGAACTGGAATTGTTTTGCGCAGTGAATGTATTACAATTTATTTTTCTGGCTTTGAGATTAGATGGTTTTATAACATGGAGCTGGGAAGTTGTGTTCGTGCCACTATGGGCTCTTCTCTGTTTATCCTTAGTAGCTGTTTTATATGCGGTAGTGTTTGCCGCTGTTTTATTGAGAACGCCGCAGATCAATGCCCGTCAGAGGCGGACATCTCTGAACTCGGCAGTGGCGTACACATTTCTTGTTGTTCCCATTGTAGTGTTTCAGGTAAACGAGTAAATCCTTTTTATCTAGATTTTGTTAAGTTGTACTTTTGAATTTTTTAGTTGTACTTTTAATTTTCCTTATTTAATAATAATAATAATAATAATAAATTATTCTGTTTTAGGTACTGCTAGCAAATAAGTTAGACGGAGATATTTCAATAAATTACACAACAGTGGCGATGCCACTTCTCCTATCGCACATGACTCTTATTTTTATGTCTTTTGGTGCAAAGGGCGGAAATAGATGTAAGAAACAATCTTGTAAACTAGTCATTGTTGATACTAGTGATTGTTGATTTATTATATATATATATATATATATATATATATATATATATATAAAATTATTTCATTAGCATGTAAGAACGATGGAATTTTTGTCTAGGGTGGTTTGGTATCAGAAAAGACTTTTGTCACTTCCTGCTAGGTTTATGTCCATTGCTTCAAGAATATGGTAATATTTCATATCAACCAAGAGACGAGCGAGATCAACCACCATCTGAACCAATGATTACGGAAAAGGGTGAAAAGCTTATTAAGAAAATCGACCTAATGAAACCTGTTGTGCCTATAATCTCTATAGACATGCCTGACTGATTGGCTCAAACAGGTATTAGTCATTGGAATACATATATACACAACAGATTTGAATAATGCATATTACAAATAACATATAATGTTTTCATGTAAAGTTTTTCATCTTTTTATTTACAGGATTAGCTCGGATATTTTTAAATTATTATTTTTTAATGCAATTGACTTATACAGAGGCCAAACATTCTATTATAAAATGTCAGGTATTTTTAAAATAAATTAGTATTAAATCTGAATAATGAAACATATACATGCATGCATAGACCACACACACACACACACACACACACACACACACACACACATACATACATACATACATACATACATACACATATATATATATATATAATATATATATATATATGT